CGTCGTCGTCACACACACACACACACACACACACACACACACACACACACACACACACACACACACACACACACACACACACACACACACACACACACACACACACACGCATACGCATACGCACACACGCATATGTACACGCATAGTGCTCACTTGCTCACCCTCGGCCCGCCCCCTTTGCAATGATATGCTGCCTCGTGGTGCAGGTCAACTACTTGGAGCAGCTCTCGGCTGCCGGTTGGTTGACAACAGAAGACAAATCCGCAATTGTGACCCCACTTCAGGTATTCTCTCTTCCTCTCTCTCTCTCTCTCTCACACACACACACAAACACACACACACTCTCTCTCTCTCTTTCTCTGTGCGCGTGTGTACTGGCATGTCATAGACACATCACCCTCCCAACGGTAGCTTGTCGCATCAGTGCTGCTCTGTCCCGATCTGCGCAAGACGCGCACCAGTCTGCGACACCATCAACACCACACACCACCCCCCACCCCCGCAGCACGACAACCATGACACACACACGCGCGCACTAACGCCTCTCTGTGTGCCGTTTGCTTTGGATCTTGCGTGACGACAGCGCGTGGTATCATTTCAGCAGGAGCTGGTGCGACAGCTTGACTCCAAAATACAGATCACCAGCTACGCAGAGGCCTGTCCTGTGTCTGTTGTCCTGCTGTCTTTTGCATTTGAGGTGCGCAAGACGGTTTCATCATAACTTGCCCTGTGCTCCTACTTGAGTGCCTTTACCAACCAATGCAGCAGTCACAGACTGCAACTCCACACCTTTCCACTTGCATTCGTTCTTGTCGAACTGCACGCATACTCACACAGTGCTGCCGTCTTCACGGGCCATGATCACAACTAGATTTTGGATGTGTACACGACATATACTTGCAAGCTTCCAGCTGCTGTACACCGCTGTCAAGGTGCGTATGTTGCAAGACGGTGTGCTTGTGTTTTTGTCTCTTTGTCTCTGTGTGTTTGTGTCTTTGTCTCTGTGTGTGTGTGTGTTTGTGTGTGTGTGTGTGTGTTTGTGTGTGTCTACGTGTATGTGACAAGCCTTCTGCCCAGTCATTCGTCTTGCGAACCAATGCTGGATTGCTGCGTTTCTCAACAATCACAACCTGCCCCTGCTTCGTTGCATTTGCGGCACTCCTGTGTGCTGCGCGGTTTCATGGCTACAGAGTTGTTTTCCACGAATCACCACTACCGTACATGGTTGAGCCAGTCAGCCCCGCTCGTGTCCTTGCCAGATATCCTGCGCCGTCCACTCAACCATGCGCAGTCATACATGTACGTGCGCGCACATGCTGTGGGCATATTTGCGGGTGAGAGTGCGTGCGCGTGTGTGTGTGTGTGTGTGTGTGTGTGTGTGTGTGTGTGTGTGTGTGTGTGTGGAGACAAGAGAACGCGTGAGAATGCGTGTGTACACGTGTGTGTGTGTGATTGTGGATATATGTGTGGTTGTGCATTGGTATTAAGACTTTTATATGTGTGAGTGACTGCCTATGCGTGAGTTGTGTGCGCCCGTACGTCTGCATCGTTTATTCGCGTGCACCTGCGACCAACGCAATTGCCTGCTTGATACTGGGTTGCAGAAGTGCGTTTGAAGCCATAGGACGGCGGGTGCCTGCCACACACCCCGCGGCAGCCCAGGTTTCGGTGCGTCGTTGGTCCACACGTGTGTGTGTGTGTGCGCGCGCGTGTGTGTGTGTCTCCAAAAGAAAAGGAAACAATCGAGCATGTGCTCACACACGCACGTATGCCCATGCACAATCAATCACACACTCATGCTCTCATATACACGCACACCCATGCACATTCCTCCGCCGTCATTGTTCCTCACGTGCCACCCTTGGGTGTCAGAAATGCGCATCGTTTCTGCGCCACCTCTCCGCTGTTGTCGACACCATCGACTACGTGAAGGCGGGGGAGCTCGGGATGAAGACTGCACACATCAACGCCTGGAGAGGACCGGTATGTGCACCAGGGAGAAACGTGGCTGTGCATGTGGCTGTGAATGTAGACGTGATACTGCGGATTTGCGCAATAAGGCAACATTGTACATTTGCACACCAGAACAATCCAATTGCATGGGTCTAGCAGCACCTGCTGTCATTGCGATGGTGGTTTTCCATCCGCAACACACACCACCTCAACTCACCCGCATGTGTCAATGGCCCATCGTGTATTGAATTATTGTTTCGCTTGCTTTGTTGCTGTTTTCGTGCACGTCAAAATCAGACCATGGATCAATGTGGACCATTGCTGCTTACCTGCAAAGTCAAGACGATGGTGCGGGTGTGTAGACGTTCCGCTTGTGAGCTCATGTTGTACTGCGATTGCCATTGGCGGTTTGCTGCCGCATTCCTGCTGCAGACCTGCTGTTTTGTTGTTGTTGTTGTTGTTGTTGTTGTTGTTGTTGTTGTTGTTGTTGTTGTTGTTGTTGTTGTTGTTGTTGTTGTTGTTGTTGTTGTTGTTGTTTCTTGCGTGCTGTGTGCAGTTTTGTTTGTGTTCCATTCCAATTTGATTCATTTGTTTTTGTGTTGTGTTGGCTGCGTGTAATCCGCTGTGCGTGCGGGGGCGAGTTGAGTGGCGCTGTTGCTCAACTGTGATATGCATGCTGGCAACTGCGTGTCTTGTACGATGGTAACTGACTTGCAGAGTGCGGCTCGGTCTGACTCGGCGCAACAACCAGCGACGCACTTGCTGCTGCTGTTTGCGCAACGTCTCATCCTCATTTCAGTATCCAGTGTAGCCCACGTACGTGCGAAGGTGTCATGACACGAGTGCGTTCCTTCCTTGCATGGTGGTGTTCCTGTGTTCGTGTTTTCTGTTTGGTCCCGCACCGGTCGTTTGATTTTGCCTTTGTTTTGCCTCTCTTCCCACCCCCCTTTTATTTTTGTTTGTTTGTTTGTTTGTTGTTTCTGTTTTTTGTTTTGTTTTCGGGTCTGTTTGCTCTGCTTTGGTTTTGTGCTGTGTTACAGTTTTGTATCCTCTCATGTCGAATCGTATGTGCACATGCGACGGGGGTGGCTGTAGGGCGACAATGTGTCCAGGCAGTACAGCCTGGAGCGAACCATCGCACTCCACTCGCAACAGGTGTGCTGTAGTGAGCTCAGCCTTCTTGACCATGGGACGTGTACATGGCTCCCCCCCCCCGAGCTGTGATCAGGCTTGACATTTCCATCCTCTCACACTGTTCCTGCAAATGCAATCGAGCATCCAGCTGTCATGTGCATCTGCACACGCACACGCACAGACTTCCTCACTCGCACACGCTTATCCACACCCTCTCTTATTCACCCACGCTCTATCTCACGCGTACACGCGCGCACGCACGCGCTCACGCCATTATGCCAGGGACCAGCCCTGCGTCGCGCCGAAGTTGAGACTGGGTTGCTTCTTCGAGGAGAGGCCGCTGCCGAGCAGCCCCTCCTGCTACTCTTCCCGTCCAGACAGGACGCAGAGCAGTGGCTCGACGCCGTCACCATGAACCACATGGACAGGTGAGCGTTGCACGACATGACGCTTCAACCAACAACTCGGCCCCCCCCCCTCCCGAGGAACATGACGGGTGCCTGCCTGCTGTGCGTGGCCAGCCAAAACAAGAACAAAACCAGAACAAAAGCGCAACATGGCATGCATTCTACCAGGCCTGGTTGGAAGGGAGCGGATTTGCTCGCCTTCACGTGCTCAACTTCACAGGCTTGTCAATCCTTGTTTGTGAATGTGTGCGTGTGTGTACGAATTTACTTGTTTGTAGGACCGAGACGGGTGCAGATGCACCAGCATGGCCAGCGTCGTTCGTTCCACTCGGGGTTCATGCAGAGGACATTGTTGCAGTTCACGAGGTCGGACACACGCACACACACACACACACACACTCTCTCTCCTCCCCCCCCCTCCCATTCACTCACTCACACACACACTCTCTCATTCTCTCTCTCTCTCTCTCACACACACACACACACTCTCTCTCTCTGAGGTTGTACCTGTGTGTCATACATGTGAACTTGGTTGCTGGGGTTCAATTGAGTTTGTTGAGTTCTTACAATTCACACAACTTGGCGTCCGTCCTCCCGCACTCGATACATCTCCTTCTGTTCTTCCTTCTATTCTCTTAAGGCCTCGGAGTTAGATGGTAGGCAGCATCAGCCGGACAGCACAGGTGCGCCAATGCACTCACTTGTTGTTGTTGTTTTTTTTTTTTGTATCTCATCTCGTTCCTTTTTCATACAACACCTTCGCAGTCACGTTAGCTGCGTGCTCGGGTTGTGTCATGCTTTACGACACTCTCGTGTCCCGCGCAGCGACGCTTGACTCGGCTCGTGTCGCTCTGCTCTTCTGCACGATTTCTCGTGAAATTGTTTCTTGCCGCTGTACTCACCCACATGCCCGTTGTGTTCCGCACTCGTTCAGAAACGGACGGCTTGCAGGAATTTGAAGTCGTCTCTTCGTATCTCGGATCAAGGCGTAAGTTCGGCTCCCTTGGGCATGTCGTGATGTTTCGAGTGTTTGACCTGCTCTGTATGACAAGCGAGCTTGCAAAGATTCCCGCCTCACTTCTCTGTTTTGCTGATTGATTCTTTGCATGCGCGCGTGCTGTCCTACCATGCTCGATCTTGTCGATCGAACCTCGTTCGTGTTCCTCGCATCGTGTTTATTTGTCACGCAGATACGACGCGGCCCCTTAATGCCAAGACGTCATGATCTCCACGTCGGCATCACTCGTCACTCAAATTGCAACCTGGTCCTGTCGTTCTGTCTGTCTTTGAGCGCCTGTCTATTCGTCTCACTCTCCCCCTCCCTCCCTTTCTCTGTCTCTGCCCCCCCCCCCCATGACACACACACGCGCGTGCACACACACGCACACACACGCACACGCACACACACCCCCCTCTCTTCGAGAAGTTGTGTCGTTCGAGAACGGGTACATCTCCATTAAGTAACCAATGTAAGTAAGCAGCGTCGCATAATGCGGTAGTAGCAATGACAGCAACGAATAAATAAGTCGACGCAAGCAAAGCGCCACGAGATGAGCATCGACATGACACAAACGCGCGCGCGGGGGTTGAGGAGGGTTGGATAAGCTTCCGTGCGTGACACGACTGAGTCACAACCAGACATGGTTCCCCTGGCCCTGGGGGGGGAGATGTCTGTTTGTTTGTTTGTTTGTTCGGAAGGCTGGAAGGGAGGAAGGGACGATGGTGCTAGAGTGCCGCTCCACATTCGTCTACTCTACTCGTGGTGATGGTGGTGGGGTGTGTGTGTGTGTGTGTGATCTGCGTCGTTAGGGGCAGAAGCTGCAGTGGTCTGGTAAGCAGGCGCGTTTGTTAACAACACTCGACGCGGACAGTGAACCTTGCAATTACCCCGACAACCCTCGTCCTCGTGGTGCAAGGGTACCGCTACCAGGACTGCTCTTAGCGAGCGTACACCGAGACCCCTTCTTTAAGTCTTTAGCCTTCTTCTACATACACCCTCTCCGCCGAGCTGACAACTCCAACACGTTTGCCTCACTCAGTCATACGACTTTTCACACTGTCCTCTTGAACGTTACACAGAGTGAGCTGGTACCTTTTTTGTTTTTTATTTTGAGTGCTGTGACTGTATGACGACAGCCTTGCGTGCGCTGTTGTTCTTGTAGCATCACGCGGGCACTCGCTTGTGCGTGTGCTCTGTCGACGTGTACGCGGAGGCGTGGTAACACTCGGCACAAATCCGGCATTTCCCACACAAAATTATCGCGCGGGAAGCACAAGCAACAAGGGGTGCGTGCAAGTGCAACAACCAACACAAGGGCCGGACAAGGCGGAGCGAAAAAGCGCGAAAAACGAAAGCCAACACACGCACACACATCATCATCAACGCACGACTCACAACCAACCAACCAATCGACAAGCAATCCCTCCTTCCCTCGCTCGCGTTCCGGCAAGGCACGAGGTGCGATGCTCTGCGGTGCGTGTCGTGCTGTTGTGGGGGGGGGGGGGTGGCGGCGGTCGACGTGTCGCCACATAAGCGTGGCGCTCAGTGGAAGCGGACAGCAACAGCTTGAGCTGCTGAACCGGCTCTCTCACCCAACCCACCGCTCTCACTCACTCACTCTCTTGCACGTGGCTTTCCCTCACACCACACCTGTGTGGCGTACATCTGTGCACCATCACTGCCATTATCATTGCCGTCAGTGGACTCGACAGGACGATTTCGACGTCTCTGATCGACAAGTTAAACACCAGCCGCTGGCCGCCCTCAAACCGTGAGCTGCTGCACCACCGCCCTGCACACCTCCCCGGGCTGTGTGTACCCAACGAACCACCCACAGTGAACCGGCCAAACACAACCGCACACAAACACAGACACACAGACACACAGATCGACAGGGAGGCAGACAGACAGACACACACACACTCACACACACACACACACACACACAAGCACACAGGTACACAGACAGACAGACGGACAGACAGACAGACACACACACACACACAGATCGACACACAAGCACTCAACACGCACACCCCCACCCCCACCGCACCCCTTCACAAACACAGGCCTGCTCTCACTGGCCGACAGCAATCGTTACAACTCGTTCCATGTTCGCTCGGGTCCGTCGACCCAGCCACTCCCGAGGACTGAGACACTGTTCCCCACCAACACACCAACGACGCCGCGCACACACACCACGTCGCATGGGGGCCATGCGCCCCCACCTGCACCCGGCACCCAGCCTCCAGTGTCGTCATGGTCCACCCACCCAACACCCTCCTCCTCAACAACAGCTCCACACCCACAAACAGCAGCATCCGCTGCGGTACAGCAGTCGCCTGCACCAGGGCCACCCGTGTTCTCATCCTTGTCTGCGGGCCCATCAGTGATGCCCGTCGGTTCCATGCGCTGCGTTGGTCCCGTGACAGCGACGCCGATACCGCCGTCTCGCCTCGCAGCCAGAGACAGCAGCCAAGCGCCACACCCAACACGTGCGCATGCCCCGGCGTCCACAGCCAACACACCCACTTGCACGGCCACCTCCACAGCCACCTCCACGACTACCAGCATGGCTCCACCCGCGACTACCACATCCACACCCTCCTCGCAGCAGAGAGCGGCAGCCCGTCCTTCGGCACCAACGACGCGCCGCACCCGCACCCCAGAACCAACCTCAGCCCCCGCCACATCATCGACAACACTCCCCCCAGGTCCCCGGAGCTCGTACACCTACTATGCGCCAGGCACGGTCGCATGCATTGGAAACCAGACGGTGACCCGATACCTCACCTCCGAGCACACCTCTGCTGATGGCACATCAAAAACAAAGGCCAACTACTACATTTTTCACAAGGATAAGCCTTCGTCTGCGGCTTCATCTGCCACTCCTGCGGCACAAACAGCAGACCACTCCGCCGTGGCAGAGCACGCACACGCCTCTTCAACCCCACAAACAGCGACAACCGAACCTGTAATCCCCCGCATCATCACGAGAAACCTGGGCCACACCAGCGCCCTTCCACCGGTGCCAGGGGTCACAGCAACGAGGCGCACGTCCAGGTCGTCGCCTCACCCCAACTTGGACCACACGCCCTACGTTGGTGTGGATACAGCGCTGCCAGCTACAATCGTGTACAACGCTTCCGCGGAGACCCCTGCGGAGCAGCACCAGCAGTGCCAGAATCCCAGCCCACAGCACAGTGCTCACACCACGACCAACGCCACTGCGCAGCCAGTCCGTCACAGATCCGCACCAACCCATTTCAAGTGGCATGGTGCTTCAAACACCGGTCCAGCCCCAGAATACGGCACCAGCCAGCCCTCAACAACAACGCGCGCAAGCAGGCCCCAGTACACAGTGCATGCCACGCTCACACGCCAGGGCGTGCGTGTCAACACTGAGCAGCCACAGCAGCAGCAGCAGCAACAACAACAACAACAACAACAACAACAACAACAACAACAACAACAACAACAACAACAACAACAACAACAACAACAACAACAACAACAACAACAACAACAACAACAACAACAACAACAACAACAACAACAACAACAACAGCAGCAGCAGCAGCAGCAGCAGCAGCAGCAGCACCCGCAGCCGCAGCCGCAGCCGCAGCAGCAGCAGCAGGGGCAGGGGTCCACGGCACAAGGTCAGCCCACTGCAGCCCAAGCAAATTTCCATGACAGCACACGCACGGCGGGAAAGGGAAGCACAGCAGCAGCATCAACAGCGACAACAGCGACAACAGCGACAACAGTGGCGTCACCGAAGCGGCATGGCAAGAAGCACAAGAAACACAAAGACAGCAAACACGACAAGAAGCACAAGAGGCGGAAGAAACACAAGAAGGACGGCGATAAGAAGAAAGACCAGGCCGAGGACAGCACCGAAGGCAGTGGCAGTGCGGCTGCAAGCGCAGCGACTCATGGTGGCAGTGATGGGCTGAAGAATGGTGACACAAGGGACGACACGGTGTCCACGGGCCCCGCAGAAGACAGCTCCAGGGTCAGCATACCGGGGGCAGTGACCAGGACACAAGGTCCGTCGAAGGCCCCGAGCCAGAAGGAAGCATCAGCGACCACAGCAGCCGATGGCGGTGGTCGGGTGATGGGCGACTCGAGCACATCCAGCAGCGATAGCAGTGATAGTGATAGTGACAGCTCCAGCTCCAGTGGTGATGAAGGGGAGCGAAGGAAGAAGAAGAAGCGACGGCAAGCCAAGCACAACAAGAAGGAGAAGAGGAGAAAGAAGTCCAGGAAGAAGAAGTCCAAGAAGAAGAAGTCAAAGAAGAAGAAGAGAAACAAAGAGCAGGAGCAGATCGCAGAGAAGAACAAAGCTCAGCGCAAGGAGCAGGAGAACACACCCCTGCCGCAACAGAGTGCACCAGGGCAAGCCACCTCAGCCCAGCCGACCTTCGCGCCCACGCAACAGCCACAACAGCACCCACAAGCAATGCCGCCAGCAATACAGCAGCAGCAGCAGCAGCAGGAACAACAACAACAACAACAACAACAACAACAACAACAACAACAACAACAACAACAACAACAACAACAACAACAACAACAACAACAACAACAACAACAACAACAACAACAACAACAACAACAACAACAACAACAACAACAACAATACCCCCAAGTCATCCCTCCTGGAGTAACACCACAGCAACACCCACACGCAATGCCGTCAGCAACACAACAGCACCACCATCAACAACAGTACCCTCAAGCCATGCTACCTGGGGTATCCCCACAGCAGCACGCACAAGCAATGCCTCCAACAATCCAGCAGCAGCACCCACATGCCTTGCCACCTGCGATACCCCAGCAACAACAGCAACAACAGCAGCAACAACAGCAGCACCAGCAGCTCTCGCCCTTTGTTCCTCACGGGTACCCGGCTCCAGCTCAAGGCATGCACTATGCTCCTCACCCCACGCATCTTCAGCCGCAGTATTTCCCATACTATGGTCACCCTTACGACCCCAACCACATGCCCACTGTTGCTGCACCAGCACCAGCACCAGGAACAGCACCAGCGCCAGCGCCACCACAACACGCACCACAAATGAGTCAGGCCTCGATGCAGCCGACGCCCCTCCCACCGCAACAGCAGCAGTATTACCAGCCGCAGCAGCTCCAAGCGCAAGCACATCACGACAGTGCTGGCAATGAGCATCCACCCCATTGGCCTCATTCGCAACAGCCGACCACCACCTCTGCAACAGCTCACGTCACCAGCAGCAGCAACAACACGTCTGGCCAACACACAAGCTACCACAGCAGTGTGGCGCATCACCGAAACATGTACAGCCCATTGCAGAGGACGGCTGCCAATCCTACCTTTGCTGTTCCGCCCTACTCGGATGGGAGGAAGAAACCGCGACCGACGTGGGACCCGGCAGCGCGGCCCCCTGTTCCCCTGCAAAGCACGCTGGCCGGGGCGGACGAAGGGGTGAAGGCCAAGGCGAAAGCCCCGCCGAAGCAAGCCGGTGAACAGAAGAAAAGGAGGAAGAAGAGGACCATGCCACCGAAGCCAAAGGAGCTGAGCAAGGAGGAGAAGGCGAGGATAAGGGAGAAGGAGAGGGAGAAGTTGAAGGCGCAGATGAAGCTGTATGAATACCACGAGCCTGTCGACGTCGGTCGAATGCCCACACCCATTTCCGGACCCCCCGTCATCGGACAGTCAACAGCAACAGTAGCAGCAGCAGCAACAACAACAACAGCAGCAGCAGCATCATCCCCATCCTCATCCTCACTGCCCCCGGCAGTGCACCCCGAGCTGGCCCACGTAGCCCCACCTGCAGCAGCCAGCCAGCCTCGACCTTTTTCACCGCCATCGGGCCCGGCACTGAGCCCACAGCCGATGTCCGAGCCCCAGTCTCCGCTGAGCAAGGGTGCCCCACAGCCAGCAGCATCAGCACCAGCCCCCACCGGGCATCAACCAGTCAAGAGCCGGCAAGCGGCAACGACACCAGCCGCAACAGCATCAGCCAAACCAAGAGCAGCAACATCGAAGTCGACGAAACGGTCCAAGCCATCTCGCACCCGCACTCGCAAGCGCAGGACTGCTGTGGTTGATGCCGACCCACAAGCGGTTCCCGCGAAGGAAAAAGGCGGTGAAACCACCAACAGGGGGAGCAGGAGAAGGAATAACGGCGCAGCTACCAAAGTGAAAGATGCAGAGACAACCACCGTAGCTGACTCACAGGCGAATGGCGACGTCAGCGCTCGAGAAACGACGGGGGATGGCCGTTCCCCAGCGATGCCACATGGAGACCGGGTTACGGTTGATGACATGGTCAACGGTGATGCGGCCGGCGAACCAGCAGCACCCGCGCCCCAATTGTCGAGTGCCAACTCTGCTCGCAAGGTAGCTGCCAGTGTCGATGACGCTGACCCTGATGATGATGATGATGATGGTGACTGCGATGACAATGGTGACAACGGCGCGGGTGATGACGACGATGGTGATGAGGGCTCGTCCTTGAGCGCCGAGCAGTCGACCAGCGAGAACAAAGGGCCCGAATATCTTCAACTACGACGCAAGGGCCAAAGCAAAGGCAAAACGACCAACACCAACAATCTGCAAGACGAGCCTCTCTGGGCACCCAATTGCATCGAATCGCAACACTTGCCTCAGCGTAAGACTCGCCTGCTGTGCCTGCATGCTGAAGGCCCCTCAAATGTGCTTGTGTGTCTGTGCTTGTGTGCCTGCGTGCGTGGGTCTGTGTGCACACACTTGTTGTTGTCTGGATTTGTTTGTGCGTATGTGCACGGCATTGTTGACTGGAGGGTGCACGAGACAGCACGATCTTGTGCAATGGTGTGCTTGCGTGCACGTGGGCAGCTCACGCATGTGCTCTGTTCTTGCGGCGTGTTGTTTTGTGTTACTGTCAGCCAACACTGAACCGCCATCCAAAGGCATCAGCGGGCAGCTCATGTGGATCGCCCCACCGCCAGACGTGCTGTCAGAAGAAGGTACATTTCCTGCGTTGGCTTCTTTATGGTTCGCCTTGAGACCTTCACGCACGATAACTGATAGTTGGTTGCTGACCCCGGCCATCAATGTCCCGCCCCTGCCCCACGCTGATCTTGTTTTCTGTCTTGTGTGATGCAGAGCTCTCGGCGTTTGTGGACGAAAACGCTGTGTCCTCTGCGGCTGAGATGATGGGGCATACACTTGAGCTTGTGCTTGGCGTCCTCATGGAGGCAAACTACAACCCGGAGCTTGCCCGACAGATGCTTGCTTACATCCCGCGCAACAGAATCAACTACCGACCACAAGGTGCGTGTGTGCGTGTGTGCGCGTGTGTGCGCGTGTGCGTGTGTGCGTGTGTGCGCGTGTGCGCGTGTGCGCGTGTGCGTGTGTGCGTGTGTGCGTGTGTGCGCGTGTGCGCGTGTGCGCGTGTGCGCGTGTGCGCGTGTGCGCGTGTGCGTGTGTGCGCGTGTGCGTGTGTGCGTGTGTGCGTGTGTCGAACCTATGCATTTGGCTCAAGGGGCGGTACGTTTCATGATTGGTTGTTATGTTCTCACGTCAAGTGTTTCATTACCCGTGTGGTGTCGGTCATTTGGAAGTGATGAACACCTGGACTACAAAGGAGGAGAGCGTGCTGGAGAAGTACGCCAAAAGGATCCAAGTGGAAGAAAATCCAGCAGCCTGGGGGTGGGCGGGTCGCTTTGGAAAGAAGGTGAGGCTTTCTTCATGACTTCGAGCGTTGCGTGTGAGTGAGTGAGTGAGTGAGTGAGTGAGTGAATGAGTGAGTGAGTGAGTGAGTGTGTGAGTGAGTGAGTGTGTGAGTGTGCACTGTCTATACTGGTGTGGGCTGTTCCCTGGACCTAGGCATTCCGTTGATTCTCCTCTGCGACTCATGAATACGCGCACTTCTTGTTCTTCGATGTTTCCTTTCTGACATCCAGATCAATCGTCGCCCTGAGCAGCTCTCCGAGCATCTTATGCGCGAGCGCTCGGTACGTCGATGTTTACACACACACACACACACACACACACACACACACACACACACACACACACACACACACACACACACACACACGCACACACGCACACACACACACACACACACACACACACACACACACACACACACACACACACACACACACACACACACACACACACACACACACACACACACACACGCACGTGCGCGCAACACAACCCGTTCACGTTTAGGGGGGGGGTCACTGCGATAAATGCGGTCGATTGTGACAAATACGGTTGATTGTGCTTGGTCGGCTACAGCTCAAGCGCGGCGAGCGATTCAGGAGACGCCAATTCATGATTCCCGTGGCATTCGATCCCCAAGGCCCATACGCAGGCAGAGGGTGGGTTGGATGACAGCCCTCAATGGTGTTTTGTCTGAGCTGCGTGCTGTTTTGAATGTTCACTTTGTGCGTTTGCCCTGGAGGCGATGAACTTGGTTGCGTTGTTGCATGCTCACGTTCCCATGCTGTGCGTCTTCCCATCTTTTTATGTGTGCGTGCTGTTTGTCCGGCAGGCGCCAAGCGCTTGCCGAATACGAAGCAAACAACCTTCGCGGATGGCGCAGGACAATGCGCGACGTGGATGCGACTGTACGTTTTTGTGTGTGTCTTTTCGTGCGTGCGTTCTTTGTTTCGCACACTGGACGATGCCGTGTCTCATCCTGGTTTGCGTCTCGTCTTTGTTGTGTGTCTTGTCTTTGTTTTGCCCCTGGTTCTGTTCTACCTCACCCTCGTGTCCACACACACACACACACACACACACACACACACACACACACACACACACACACACACACACACACACACACACACACACACACACACACACACACACACACACACACACACACACACACACACGTTGGCGCTGCGCATTTTTTATTTATTTTGCAGTGCGTTCCACTGCATTCTACGGACGAAGAGGTTGTTGACTCTGATCAGTTGCGGTCGCCGACTGCGTCATCGGCGCAGCCCGAAGACCAGCAGAGCGGTGGCGATGAGGTCGCCCAGGAACAGCGACCCGACGACGGGGCGGGAAGTTCTGTTGTCACGTCCGCGGATGTGTCATTAACGCAGCCGCCCGCAGGGGCAGCTGCGTCCAAGGCCGAGAAGGGAGCGGGTGCAAAGGGCAAAGGTCCAGCGGCCGTTGGCGCGGCAGTAGCGGCACCATCATCGTCGATAGCGGCAGGCGCGCGACGACCCCGAAAGGCGGCGCAGGCGACGACGCAGCCGAAGCGGGAGCCTGCAGGCGGTGTGGCAGAGGAGAAGGCGCCAAAGAGAAAGGGCCCACAGGAGAGGGAGCAGGAGCAGCAGCACGCAAAGGACAAGGACAGGGACGAGAAGGAGGGAGCCGAGGAGATCCAGAAGAAGAAGAAGAAGGAAAGGGTTGATTCTGATCGCCCAGCAGACCAAGCAACCCAGGCACAAGAGCGGTCAGTCCAACCGCGCCGCACAAACCGCCGCATCAAACCTCCAAAGAGTAAGCAAATTCTGTGGCTGGTATGCGTGTGCTTCGGGTGCAGCAGTGCGTGTGTGTTGGGGTGCTGGCGTGTCATCCGTGAGATGTGTGGCTTTCTTCGGAACAAAAGAACAGATACATGCACACCCAAACAGCATGAACGCTCACGTGTGCCTGTTATCTGCTGAATTGTGTGGATTCATGTGACTGTTTGCATTTGCTTGAAGAGCTTGGGAGCGAGTCGCCGGAGAAGGCGGCGGCGAGTTCAGCCCGTCGGCGGTCAAGTGGAGCCAAGCGCAAGGCCGAGCCCGCCACGACAGCAAGCAAGGCGCCGCGGTCAGCTGCTGCACGCAGGAGCACCGGCAACGAGGCGAGCAAGGCAACGGTGCATGGGGCGCGTGGACGTGGGCGTGGAACAGGGCGTGACGCGGAGCCATCTCGCCGTGGACGCGGCCGACCAAAGGGATCCAGCAACAAAAAGCCCGTGCAGACGTCGCCAATGACGCAACGCCAGAGGGAGAAGCAAGAGAAGGAGAAGCAAGAGAAGCAAGAGAAGGAGAGGCGGGATAAGGAGAGGCAGGAAAAGGAGAGGCAGGAGAAGGAAAAGCGAGAAAGAGAGAAGGCAAAGAGGAAGAAGGAAAAGGAGGAGAAGAAGAAGAAGGACAAGGACAAGGACAAGGAGAAGGAGGGGAAGAAAGAGAAGGGCAAGCGGTCGACGGGGTCGGGGTCTGCCGCTGCGGCTGTCGAGGAGCCGCCGCAGCCTTTCTTCAAAGTCGAGGCCGTCCTCAAGTCCAGAACCAGGAAGCGCCGGGTGCGTTGCTCTGTGCACCCGTGATTACATGCAAATGCTGGTTGGCGTGTGTGCGCATGCTTGTGTGTGTGTGTGTGTGTCTGTGTGTGCGCGCGCATGCTTGTGTGCGCATTCTTGTGTGTGTGTGTGTGTGTATGTATGTGTGTGTGTGTGTGTGTGTGTGTGTGTGTGTGTGTGTGTGTGTGTGTGTGTGTGTGTGTGTGTGTGTGTGTGCGGCGAATTTGGAACAGGCGTCTTTGCGAGTTTTTCACACCTTTCTTCCTCGTTTGGTTTGTGGCGCGGTTCATTTGAATTGTGCCCAGCGGGAGTACCTGGTCAAGTGGGCAGGTTACTCCCACGAACACAACAGCTGGGAACCCGAGCGCAACTTTACCCCGGGCGTCATCGATGCCTTTTGGGCCAAGTGTGTTTTGTTGCGTGTTTGGTTCTGCGTGTGCTTCGTTGTGTTTGGTTCGTGATGTGTGTGCGTGTGTGAGATGTGTTCACATGCTCACAAGCGCGAGTGTGTTTGTGTGCGTGTGTGTGTGTATGGAAAATTGGACTCACAATTGTTCCTTTTTGCTCGTCTGGATGTGCAACGCTATGCAGAGTGAAGCAGGAGCGTCTCGAGCGAGTGGTAAGAATGGGGGATCAACTGCTTGTGGTTGTTTTCGTTGATTGGCGTGTCGTATGCTTTGGTATCACGGACGCCTCCCCCCATTACCCTGATGATTGCGTTTGCGCGCGTGCTTCTGTGTGTCTATTATGTTTGTGACTGTTGAGCGTGTTTCTCACACGTGTGCGTGTGCATGTGTGCGTGCATGTGTGCGTGCATGTGTACGTCTCGCTCTTGTGACAACAGCAACTTCAAGAGAAGCGGAGGGCAGCGAGTGCTGGCGGCAATGAGGGCGCTGACGACGATGGGGCCGACAACAGCGACAAGGACCAAGCCAGTGAAGGCCAGCCAGCAACGAAGCGAGCCAAGCAGCAGCAAGAGAGGGCGTGAAACGCAGCCGTGGCGTGTCATTCTGCGTGGGTACCAGGGATGATGGGTGGAGCATGTTCTAAATTTAAGCGTTTTTTTTTTTCGTTTCGTTTCGCGCAAGCGCGGGTGAGTCGGTCTTGGCGACGACAGAACAGCGTTGTTGGCCTTGTTGTGCAGGAGATGCTTCCTATTTCTGAGCTGGTGTGTGTGTGGGTTTTTGAACAGTGTGGTTGTGATGTTGTTATTCCACCAACATCAGCAGCCCCTCCTAGGGTCGTACGTATTGTTGATTTGCCCTCTTTTCAACGTTCATTTACATTATATTTGAGCATAGGTGGACCCTCTATTGTGCTTGTTCCTTGCGTGGTGCTGTTGTTTCCTTCGTTCATCATGCGTGTGTGAAATGATGTGACATGACATAAATGTTTGTGGTTTGGGGACGCGGCTCTGTATCTTGCGTGTGTGTGTGTGTGAGTTGGGTGCTGGACATCGTTTCCCTTGTGTCTTCTTTGTTTTTGATTTCGGTTGTCGATTGCATATCAGTTTATTGGTGACAACAACATGTAACAGCAGGTACACTTACATGCAAACCCGCCTCGTGTGTCAACAACGTCAGAGTCACATTGGTTGGTTGGTTGGTTGGTTGGTTGGTTGGTGTAGCAGGTAATAAATTTGTGCTGTCGTCTTCAGAAGAACGCGGGAAACCTGAATTCAGTTTCGACACAGTCAGCAAAAGGAAGACAGGAGCAACAAGTGATCTGATCTGCGGTTGCTGCCCCTTCCCTTCCTCCTCCCTCACCCTCTCCCCCCGTCATGTTGTGGCGTCTGATCGAGTTCCTTCTGCTGGCAGAGGTGGCCACGGTCATCCTGCTGTGCATCCCGCTTCCAATGTGGCGCAAGCTGGTCCTCAAGTACGTGTGTTCGTGTGCGGCTGCACTTGCGCTTGCGCTCGTAGGCTCGTTGTTTTGTCATCAGCAAACTTGTTTGTTTGAAGGTTTGTTTGTGATGGCTTGCTGGTGTTCACATGCTCCCTGTCTGTGTGCTTTGCTGCAGGTGCCTGCCTCTGTTCCGCAATCCTAATTTGCGGAAGGTGAGTTGTTTGTTTCGTGCGTGCTTTTTGTTGATGACTGTGGGTGTTGCTGTTCACATCACTGAAGACGAGACAAGCCATGCTGTGTCATGAAGTGACGCCACGGATTACGTCGTTGTCCTCACGACTGTGGTTTGTGTGCATGTGTGTGTTGTGGTGTAAATGTGTGTGTGTGTGTATGCGTGTATGTGTGCGCGTGTTCATGTGTGCGCGTGCGTGTGCATGTGTGTGTGTGTGGTTGTTCTACCAGGCCATCATGGCGACCCAGTTTTTGTGCGGCGTGCTGTTCTTGGATGCCCTCATCGGCGTTTACCGACCAAAGCACCAATACTTTCCCGATCGCCGTCAAGCTGCCGTTCACGATGAGCACCACCATATGGTACCGGAATGTGCGCATGCTTGCGTGTGTGGTCATACGTATGTGTGTATGTGTCTTGTTGTGTGCGCGTACGTGTGTGCGTGTGCGTGTGTGTGTGTGTATGTGTTCATGTGTATACGAATTTGTATATATGTGTATGTAGGTGTGTGCATGCTTTCGTGTGTGTGTGGGTGTGTGTATTTGTGTGCAGGCCGTGGTGGTGACCTCGTGTACTTTGCTTGCTTGCTTGCTTGTTGTTGTTGCTTTCAGGTCCGCAAGTTTCGCGCTGAGCGCAACATCCACATCTCGGGCTTCTGCCTGCTCTTGCTCTTCCTCATCAACAGGCTGATGGCGTAAGCTTCTTCGCGACGTTGCTTTTAGTGCAATGAATGCTGGCGTGTGAGAGTCTTCCACTGTACATGTCCCGCAGCTACATGTGTTGGAACCTTTTTGCATGTTGCAAGAATGGTTCTTTGGCTGTCATGTCCACATGCGGCTGGTGTGTCCATATAGCATGCGTGTGAGCATGTGCATGTGTGGTGACTGTGTCTGCTGTTCTCATACCTGAATGGAATTGGTTTGGTTGCACAGGTTCATCCTTGAGCTTGAGGAGACGCACAAGAAGCTCAACATCAAGACTGTGCGTCTGCGCGCGTGGCTGTGTGTGTGTAGGGAGCAAGGGGTTTCGAGACAGTTGGGGTGTTGTGAGGCTCAGCGCGGGGAGTGTTCGGTGGCTTGAATTATGTTCGGGTGTTGAACTCATCCATGCTTGCAAGCACTGTGTTGTTTCGTGCCATGCAGGAGCAAGTGCAGCTCCTGAGCGACCAGCTTGAGGCACGTGCTGCAGCCACAGCTGAGGAGCGCGCCCACCGTGCACACGAGCGCCAGCCCACCTCAGGCGCACGCGACAGCGGCAGCAACGTCCGTCGCCGCGCTGTGGCTGCCACCACCGCCGAGGAGTGAGATAGAGAGAGAGTGTGTGTGTGTGTGTGTGCACCATCGTCGTCGTCGTCGTCGTCGTCGTCGTCGTCGTCGTCGTCGTGGTGGTGGTGCAACTGTGACTGACTTCATCGGTGAGCTGTGACGAAACAGGCGGCCTGCAGCGTGTCGTGGTGGCGATGTTGTGCTGTGTGACCGACCCCTTGCTAGTGTGTGTTGTGCTGTGATACGTGATGTCAACTGACGAGTCTTCACTTCGCGTGCACCCTTGCACCGCGTTTTGGAGGTCCCTTTTTCTCGTCGTTGCCGTGGTCGTTATTGTTGCTATTGTTGTTGTTTCGACAGTGTGGCCCAATGTGCGCGTTCATCCACAAAACAAACTGTTACCCTTTTACAACTCCCCCCACAGAGACACTCTGTGTAAAGCAAAGCGCACAGCCAAACGAGCTCACACTGATGAACATACACTCTGGCACACGCATACAAACACACTGATGAACATATACTCTGGCACACACACACACACACTCATGAACACTCATGAACATACACGCTTACAAACGCTCTCTCACACACACACGCACGCACACAGAGCGCGTTTCAGCGCCAAAATGGCGATCATCATCGGTGTGAGATGAGTGCCCGCCCATCCACGACATAAGCTTGGATGTCGATGGACTCAAAGTCCGGCAGCGCTGACGTGGATCGATCAATGGCGCCCGCAATCGCCTGGCAGTGCACGTCAGGAAAGGAGACAAATTGTACAAGCACAATCGTGTTACCGTGTGTATGTGTGTGTGTATGTGTGTGTGTGTGTGAGGAGGCAAGACGGTGCAGCCGAGGTGTCAAGTTTAGATGGTGAAAACTTGCACACGCACACACACACACACACACACATATGCACGCCTGTGTGAATGCCATGCATCACTTACGCGGCATGCGTCTGCATCTGCGGTGGTACCGGCAAGGCCCGGGTTGCCCCAAAGCGATAAGCGTGTCAGACGTGAATGTGCACGAATCCCATCAGCGACCGCGTGCACGCCTTCCGCGCACAACCGATTGTAGGCCAGGCCAAGCCTGTGTATCGTGTGTGTGTGTGTGTGTGTGTGTGTGTGTGTGTGTGTGTGTGTGTTAGAAGTAGGTGTGTGTGTCCAAATTTTACCCGCCTGCTGAGTCCATCGGGAGGACGTAGACTGGACAGATGTGAAGTCCCTCTGCAAACGCGGTCGCCACATAGTACGCGTCTGTAGTATCCGTCTGGAGTCCATAAAGGGCTCTGGTGTAGTCGTGTGTGTGTGTGTGTGTGTGTGTGTGTGTGTGTGTGTGTGTGTGTTTGAATAAGGGTGTGTGTTGAATGTATGCGTGGGTGTGTGCATGTGAGGAGGTGAAGGTACGGGAAATGTGGCGGTTACGTGGGGTGATGGTCGCACTGAACGCCATCACGGACAAAGTACGTAAGCACACATGCACGCGGAAGTGTGTGTGTGTGTGTGTGTGTGCGTGCGACGCATTGGACAAGGCACGACACACATGCACATACATACACACGCACACACATATACGTGCGCCACACAGGGCACAAAGTAGAAGAAGCATTTGGTCGTGCGACGTACGCGTCAATGTTGGTGCCGACAACGGCCTTCATCAAGATGGATGCGCCCTCATCCTCCAAACTGTTGTTGTTAAGTTGCAGCGATCGCAGCGATGTGTTGGTCTGCAGCACGCGGCCCAACTCTGCTGCACCGTCGCGCGTGATTTTGTTGCTGACAGCACACAAATAACACATGCACAGAAACAGAGGGCAAGAGGAGAGAGAGAGAGAGAGAGAGAGAGAGAGAGAGAGAGAGAGAGAGAGAGAGAGAGAGAGAGAGAGAGAGAGTGTGTGTGTGTGTGTGTGTGTGTGTGTGTGTGTGTGTGCGTGCGTGTGTGTGTGTGTGCGTGCGTGTGTGTGTGCGTATGTGCGTTTGCGTGCGTGCGTATGTGCGTTTGCGTGCGTGCGTATGTGCGTGTATGCGTGCATTTCATGAGAATGCGCTGTTGATGTGTGCGTGCGTATGTGCATACGTGGGTGTGTGATGCTGAGGAAATATGCACACACGTGAAAAAGCGGCTTTGATCGGGCCATGTATTCAGCACAGCCCCTTACCACGACAGGTCCAGCGTTGCGAGTGTGGCGTTGTCTTTCAACGCTTGGCACAGGCGGCCAACACCAAAGTCGGTCATTCCGTGCTGCACGTGTACATGTGTTCAAATGAGGTGTAAGTGCGCACGTGAGTGTGAAGCAGTGGCAAAGCAGGCCTGGGTACGTGATTGCAGGTACTAGCTCAGTCTGGCACTGTGGGATCAGTTCCTCAACGTACACATATAAGAATGGAGACATGTAGACTTGGTACATACGCGCACACACATGTACCGACGCGTGCACACACACGCGTGCACACACACGCGTGCCACACAAACACGCACATGCATGCACACACACGCGTGCACACACACGCGTGCACACGCACATGCATGCGCACACACACCACAATGGATGTACCTTTTGCATGGACAAGGAAGTGAGGGTCGTGTTCTGTTTGAGCATCTCAGCAATGTGCACTGTGCCTTCCTCCTGGTGGCACGCAAGGGGTGTAGTGGCTGAGTTACTTTGTTGGTTTTGTCGCACGCTGTTTGCGCCAAGTGCAGTTGACAAGGTACAGTTGCCGGCCACAAATGTATCTTGCACGGGCAAATGCACAGGCATAGTCAAGGGTAGGTAGAGACAAACAATCCACAGACGTACTTGCTGTGTGAATGACACGAGGCGATCCAGATTGAGAGACTTGAGAGCAGTGTTTCCGGCAAGTGCAGCAGCGTACGCAATGACGGCTGAACAGTCCGCGTCAGTCTCGCCAACGTCAAGCGACTCCAACGTCTGGTTCACTTGCAGCACAGACGCGAGCGACAGGTTGCCTGCACGCCCAATCTTGTTGCCTCGAAGGCTCAGGATCTTGAGGGCGGAGTTGACCTGCGCAGCCGGCATGGCGGTTTATGGTCCAGCAAGCGGATGAGAAGCATAAGCTGTTTTGCTTTTCCCGGTGGCAGTGTTCATGTGCATGCTCCTCATGTACACTCGATGCACTGACCTGGAGCATCTTGGAGATGGTGTCTGCGCCTCTCTCGGTGATATCATTGCAGTCGAGCGAAAGTGAAATAATGGAGTGATTTGTCTGTCAGGTTGTGGTGGTGTGTTTGTTTGCATATGTACGTGTGTGTGCGAGTGTGCATGTGAGCGTGTGTGTGCGAGTGTGGGTGTGTGGGTGAGGGGAGAGAGGGAGAGAGGGAGAGACAGACAGGCAGGTAGTGGAGCGAGAATGTGTGTGTGTTTTGTGTTTGGGTGACAGCTTGTTTGTGTCACAGCGTGAAGCAGGCAGTGGCAAACACTGAGCAAAGGCGACAAGAACTGTTACAAGGGCGCGTCATATCACACTTGCCTCAAGGAGTCTGCTGATGGTGGCGGCGCCAGCATCTGTGATGCGGTTGTAGCTGAGATCGAGGTAGAACACGGACGAGTTGGATTTGAGCGCCTCACAGATGGGGCCGAGGGCTGCATCCGTGATGCAGATGTTGCCCAGTTCTGGCCGCAGCGACCCTTTCCCCCTCAAGCTCAGTCGATGATCCACAACGCTCCCCATGGCTGCAGCAACAGCGCCATCCTCTGCACTCCCCTGTGCTTTGCAGCAGCTCGCATACACTTCAGCCAAGCTCATCCTCGTCGTTTTGCTGGGTGCAGAAGATGTTGTGAGAGACGTAGTGGTGGTGGGAGTCCTTCCGTGTGGCTGGCTGCTCTTCGTCGTCAACAGCGAATGTTTTCGGAAGATGTTGGTTATTTTTCTACAATGATGACGGCAACAGGGAGCAGACGAGACGACGACGACGCCACAGAGCAGCTCGTGACTTCAAACACTAACACCACGACCACCGTCATGGTTTCAGAGAGCAGCAGGAGTGGGAGTCGGGGCAGCGGCAGTATAGGCGGCGTCATCGCTGGCCAGATTGATGCGTCGCGCAACCGCTTTCCATTTTGCGTTGTCTGGACCCCTCTTCCCCTCATTTCGTAAGTTGTGAGTGCTTGTGTGCTTGTGTGTGTATGCATGGGTGCTTGTGTGCTTGTGTGTGTATGCATGAGTGCTTGTGTGCTTGTGTGTGTATGCATGGGTGCTTGTGTGTGTATGCTTGTGTGATTGTGCATATGTATGTGCTTGAAAGGAGGTGCTCACCCGTGTGCATGTGCACATCTCTGCCTGCCTGCCTGCCTGTCTGTTCTGCAACAGATGGATCTTGCCGTTCATTGGGCATGTTGGCATTGCGTCGTCGAACGGCGTTATCTACGACTTTGCTGGCCCATACTTTGTCTCGGTACAACGCAACAAAGACATGCGCAATGCTTGGTTGAGTGTGGGTGCGTGTGCTTTCACACATGACGTGGTCATTGCTTGGCGGTGCGCATGTAATGCGTTTCAAGGGCGCTCTTCGCTCATCTCCACGTGCCTTGCCTGCCTGCTTGCTTTTGCAGGTCGACAACATGGCATTTGGCAGGCCTACAAAGTACATAACAGCTGTCACTGAAAACGAGTGTGCACTTTGTGTGGCGACCCGCCTTTGTTTTCATGGCAGCCGTACCTTCTCCACAGCTGTACACACATTGACACACACATTGACACACACACACACACATACATTGACACACATACACACACGCGCGCGCATGGTTGACGTTTCCAAGGTACTGGCAGCTCGACCCGAAGCGGGCATCGTCAGACTGGGACTCTGCTGTCATCAGCGGCTCTGAGGAGTACAGAAAGCACATGGTAAGTGCAAGCAATGCCTGATCACTTGGTTGCTTGCTTGTTTCGCGATTCATATCAACAGTCAGTGTACCGTGCTGCATCGCACCACGTCAACTCAACAGCTGTTTTGCTCGTGCATGTGCGCGCATGTATCGTTGACGCTTCTGCTGTCATCGTTGATGTCGTCGTTGCCTTTGCTGATGCTGATGCTGTTGCTCTTGTTTTGTTGTCAGCACAACTTGTTCTGTGACAACTGCCACAGTCACGTGGCGTTGTGCCTGAACAACATGGCCTATGGAGGCAAGCGCAACTGGACCATGGTCTCTGTTGCCTTGCATCTCGTCTTGCACTCACACTATGTCAGGTATGACTTGCGTGCGCGTGCGCGTGTGTGCGTGTGTGCGTGTGTGCGTGTGTGCGTGTGTGCGTGTGTGCGTGTGTGTGTGCATGTGTGTGAACGTGGACGCGTGCACGTCGTTGTGTGAATGTACTCTTTGTGTGCAACTGTGTATGTTGAGTTGTGCATCCGATGTTGACGTGTGACAAGACTAACGCCATGTACCTCCGGTTGTTGTTGCGTTTACAGCTTTGGGCGGTTCCTCTTGACGTATCTGCCGTTCCTCGTCATCGTCACCATGGTTGTCCTGTTGGTCCTCTTCGCATGAGCACACGCACACACACACACACATACACACACACATACACATACACACGGCGGCGCTGTCATCCCCACATGCGGGCTTGCTTGCATGGCAGCTTGCCATTGCGCTGTGTCCATCCCTCCTTTGGTCATGGACTTTCCTTCTTTCCTTCGCTTCCTTCTTCCTTCCCTCAGTTACACCCTTATGTTAACGCCCCACGCTCTTGCACAAGGTGCTTCCCTCTCCGTCTCTGCCCTGTCTCCCATGCCTTGTACACATGCATGCGCACGCACTCGCACTCGCACATGCCCACGCCCACAAGAGAGAGTGGCATTCACACAGTGTCAGCGCACGAACAACCAAAGAAAAAAAAAGTTGGGAGGACTGAGGGACTCAGCGTCCAGCGGTCGCAGGTGTTTGTGTGTGTGCGCGCGTGTGTGTGTCCGCCACAAGCAATCGTCCGAGCGAACGACGAAGAAGCAAGGGCGAGGCATGCACGACGAACCTGTGAGCAGGGCCAGTGGCCACGGAAGGCGGGCGGTTGAGGACGACGATAGCGGAAGCGACGTGGAGCTGGAGCTGGAGACGTCTGCGGCACACGAGGTGAGCACTTGCTCAACGCTTGGAGGCCTGGTGCACGCGGCATGCACACATGCCTCATCTCACACATATGCGTGTGTGTGTGTGTGTGTGTGTGTGTGTGTGTGTGTGTGTGTGTGTGTGTGTGTGTGTGTGTGTGTGTGTGTGTGTGTGTGAAGTAGATAGATAACCGGTTCTTTTCTGACAACGAGAACCGCAGCGATATTCGGAGTTAACAAGGAAGACTTTACAGCAGCTATCACAACACCCTTCAGGCCCACGCTACGCAGACGGCGTGTCTTAATGGAATCCGGCGTTTTCTATCCGCTCGGAGTTCCACCCGTTTCGGACTTCTCGCGGGAATGTGTCGAGTTCGGGACGCACGTGCAATTATGTTAGATTGGGTCACCCTTGACCTGGTCCACTTATCAGAGCGCGTGTACGGCAAAGGAATACGTCCACACTCTATGGGTTCTGTGTGTGTGTGTGTGTGTGTGTGTGTGTGTGCGTGCGTGTGCGTTGTTTTAGGCGTGGGCGACAGATAGACTGACCCCTGTTGTGGCAAGGCTATGTCACGAGGCTGAGATCTTAGCACACGACAATGTCACCATCCGTTCAACCCCCATGTCACTGGTGCGTGATCATCACAGTTGTGCTGTGCTCTGTGCTCTGTGTGTGTGTGTGTGTGTGTGTGTGTGTGTGTGTGTGCGCGCGTGTGTGTGTGTGTGATGCACACACTGTGCCTGTGATACTGTGGACTGCATTGCGGTTGTTGCAAACCAACGTGCGCTGTGTGTGGCTTGTTTGCTTTCAGCTCCGACTCGTAGGCTGTGTCCAAGATATCGTCAGCGTGGCCATGTTTGTAAGTGGGCCGCTCATGCGTGCACACGAATTGTGAGCTGCCGACACGCACGTGCGCAAAGTAGCAATGCAACCTGCAACACCAACCCACCCTGTGCACACCGTCACAGCAGCACATCCCGGCCTCCCTGCCCCACGCCTTGCTGCTATCCTGTGCTTGTCGTTTGTTGTCTTCGACAGACTATGATGGATGTGGCGGACCACACAGGCGTCATCTCTTGTCGATCGTGGAGGCCGTTGCCATCCCTCCAAGGGTGAGCGAGAGCGCATGCGTAGTGTCCATCTGTTCACGTCTGAGCGCCCTGCTCACCTGCACTTCAATGTGCCCGCGTCCATCACCATTTCACACACACACACACTATACAACAGTGCATATGTGTGTATCGTTGGGCGCATCGTGGGCAACGCAGATACGCGGATATTCGACCTCCAGCACGTGGCTCCCGTCACGGATTTTAATCAGGTCAACTAGATGTGTGGACATGTGTGTATGCGTGTATGCATGTATGCGTGTATGCGTGTGTTCTTACATGACTTTCAACTGGCGCACTTTGCAGATTACATACCACCTGCTATCAACTGTCTTCGTGTGGAAGGCCCTGGTAAGCGCGTCTTGTTTCGGCAAAGCACACGCACACACACACACATACACACACACATACATTCACACACACATTCACACACACATTCACACATTCACACACACATTCACACATTCACACACACACACACACAACACACACACACACTCTCTCTCGCACCTCGCTCCAGAGCAAGGGGAGCAAGCTTCGCTACTCGCTGCTTGGATCGCGACGGAATGACATGCGTGCAGACGCGCCATTGTCGCACTGCCCATCAACGATTACAGCGTCGTTGACAGCACCGCCAGCGGGTGCAGAGGGTGGTGGCGGCGACAAGGCACATGAGTGTGATTTCACTTTGCATCGGGGCTTGTTGGATGGCTCGAGTGGACATGGGGTAGCTGATCGTGATGACGGCGGTGATGATTGGGATGGTGGTGGTAACGGCGAGGAGGACGCACGGAGACACGATGTGGCAGAGCATCGAGGCCAAGGCCCTCCACACGAGCACCAACGCCTACAGCAGCAGCAGCAGCAGCAGCAGCAGCAGCAGCAGCAGCCGGAACCACGACATCGCCCACTCCCGTTTCTCCATCGCACAGTTGTCGGTGTTCTCACTGGGAGCGGTTCGCCCATGACAACGGCCCAAGTGATGCATCAGCTCACCGGCACCGCCCTCCAGGAAGAGGTCGTGTGTGTGTGTGTGTGTGTGTGTGTGTGTGTGTGTGTGTGTGTGTGTGTGTGTGTGTGTGTGTGTGTGGATGTGGATGTGCGTGTGTGGATGCATGTGATGGTGTACGAACGTGTACATGCATACATGGGTGCATGCTTTCGTTTACCTTTCTGCGTGTATGGGTGAGTGAGTGTACGTGTACATGTGGTCATGTGCACGTGTGTACGCTGACGTGCCAGCGTGTATGCGTGAGCTCTCATTTCCAGACGCATACGCACAATGGCGACTCACGGCGCAGCATCATGTGCAGGTTATTGCTGCGTTGACGTTTCTGCTGGAGGCTGGCATCATCTATCAAACAGAGGCCGACACATTCGCAGCATCGTGACACGGTCGGTGCATGTATGGTTGCGTGCGTGTGTTTGTGTGCGTGTGACTGTGTGGCTGCATGGCTGTGTGGACGTTTATGTGTTGGTGTGTGTGTCGGCGTGTATGCGTGTGTGCGCGTGTGCGTTTGCAGTTTAACCAAGTGCGGCACGCTTGGCGTTGCTTCTCTTGATACTGTGGCTTGGTCGTAAACACAATTATGAACGCGCTTGCTCTCTGTCTCCCTCAACGTTGGGTGTGCCTTTGATGATGTTGTTTTGGTTTGTCATCAGTGCGAACAAACTGGCAAGCAAGACAGACCGAAGAAAAGGAATGAGCGGCAACGAGCAAGAACAGGGTCGATCGAAATAAACGCGCGCGCTCAGACACGACAAAAGACGACGGCGAATTGTCACATCAAATGCAATGCACACACACACACACACACACACACACGTACAGTCATGTCGTCACACACACACACGTACAGTCATGTCGTCACACGCACACACACACACACACACACACACACACACACACACACACACAGGACTTGGGGTGTGAGAGGAAGGGGAGGAGGAGCGAGCGCAAAGCCGCGTTCGTCAGTTTGGCTGCACGTCGATGGTAATCGGGCAGCCGTCAAGCAGCGCGTTGTTGACGTAGACGTTGCAGAAGACGGTACCGGCCTCCAGCGGATGGAAGGAGACAAACAAACCGCCGTCGCTCAGGATCGTGTGCGCCACTTCCTGCACGCGCGAGTGTCTGCCCGTGCGTGCGTGCGTGCGTGCGTGTGTGTGTGTGTGTGTGTGTGTGTGTGTGGGTGCGCGGGTGAATGAAAGAGCGTGACTGGTCACATATGACGGGCGTATGGCGCTTACAACCCTTCTTGACGCTCATTGACACACGTACTTACACACACTCTCTCCCTACACACACAGGTACGCACCCAAAGTCAAGCTCGATTTGCTCTGCCTGGAAGCCTTCCTGCTGAAAGGCGTCGATGTCTTTGCGCGGAAACACGACGCTCGTGTGACGCCCAACAGCGGCAGTGATGGCACTGCTGGGCACAACGAAGGTGCTGTTCGTCTTTGGGCCAACCAGCCTCGAGATGAAACCTGGTTTGCCGGGGTGGGTGTGGGTGTGTTGAGTGAGTGAGATATTCAGGTTATGTAAGCGCGCACACGTGAGGTTGATGGTGCAACACACACACACACACACACACACACACACACACACACACACACACACACACACACACACACACACACACACACGCACGCACACACACACACACACACACACACACACACACACACGCAAACACACACACACACACACGCACACACACACACACATACCGTTTGGCGATGAGGAAGGCACAGAGGAGGTGGAGCGGTCAATAATAACCTGCATTGATGTCCAATGTGCGTGTGTGTGCGCGCGTGAGCGAGCATTTGTCATCACAGCAGACCAAAATGTACGAAGACGGATGCAAGCACTGCACACGCACATATGCAGACGAGCACACGCACACGCACCGATGCGCCCATCGTGGCAAGGCCGACGACGATGAGGATTGGCAGGGTTACATCGGAGTCATGCCACAGCTCCGCAGCAATGTCGTTGACAGAAACGCCAGGACGCTGCGACAGGCGCTGTGAACACACACGCATGCCACTGGGAGTCACACTCAACCTTCTTCAGGAGGTCCAAGTTGAACCGGCAGAGCCCTAACACAACACACATACACACATACGCACACATATACGCACGTATACATACACACGTACAAGCGCAAACGAACGGACACACACGCGCGCGCAGGTACGCAAGCACAAACGGACACACACACACACACACACACACACACACACACACACACACACGACGACACACACACACACACACACACACACACACACACACACACACACACACACACACACGACGACACACACACACACACACACACAAGTACACACACACACACACACAGACACACACAAGTACACACAGACATACACATAGACACCGGACAAACCTGGAGCAGGCCGAGGGTGGCTGTCGCAAGTCCTGCGAGCTGGGGAAAGCTGGCAGGGTTGCTGAGCGTGGAAAGGGGTATGGCGACGACGCAGCCATCGAAGAGGGTAAGCAACTGCGTCGCAGTCGGGTTGAAGCGGAAAGCTGTTTTGCACAGCAAGTGGGCGATGGAAAGCACGGTCCACTGCGTTGTCCACCACCGGCCAAGGCTCTGAGCGACCGCGGCGGCTTGTGTGTCCTTTGTGCGTGGGTTGGGCAACAGCACTGCAAAGGTCACCGAGTGCACGAGCCACACCGTGTACACCACCAACACAACCAGCGTCACGTTCTCCTCCGTGGCCAGTCGGATGTACTGCGTCAGGTCCAGCCCGTGTTCCAGGAATACCCTGAGCAGCACGTTTGCCACAAACGGCAAGGCCAACACTGCAACCGGCACCATCTTGCTTCTTGGCTTGTGCGTTGCTGCGGTCAACGGCGAAAGTGTGAACATGAATTCAGTCGCTGGCAGCAAACACAGAGCAAAGACAGCAAAGACGAGGCACTCCTTCCGGCTCGAGAATGCTCGTGCCTTCCCTCGCTCATGCTGCTTCGCTGCTTCGGCAGCCATGCTTCCCCCCCCCCCCAACCCCTGACCCACACTGGTGACACTGTATTTGCATTCGCTTGCGAGAACAACTAGGTGAGCGTTTACAGCACTGGAACGTTCCACGGCACAGATTGTAGATGTCACACAGTCAGAAAGTAACCGTAAGAACAGTACTAACAGTAGGCGCCGGGGGACGAGAATAATGTAGTGGTCGGCTCCCTTCAAGTACACAGAAGCGAAGGAAAGGAAAGGGGCAGAGGGACAATGGGATGCAAGCCCACTGTTGAAACAGTGGCTGTATGCAGATGCTTATATGTCAATGGGCGGCAGGGCGGAGGGAGTGCACTGTGAGCAAGAAGACTAACTGCTTGCTTGCAAGCAAGACGTAATGCTAATTAGTTGAAGCTACAACGCTACTAGATAGTCACTTGAGACGGTTTCGGCAATAACTGAAGAAAATGTGGGAATAGGGAACGCACACCCGGGCGTAAGCGGCGCGAAGAGATGACAGTGAAACAACATGTCGAAACGGCGGCGTGTCAATACGTTTCTTACACAACTGCTTGTCTTGACTTGTCGGCTCGTTTGATGACGGGCGATACGTGCGGGCTCGTTTGTGTGAGCGTTTGGATGTTGCCTGCAGGCAATGAATGCCAGAAACACAGACACATTACACGCGCACGTGCACACACGCACACACGCACACACATAGAGGATGCATACACGAAACAACACAGCGTTGGAACCGAGTGAGAAAAAAGGTTGATAGCACGGTTCAAGCGCATGATGGCATGGCGTGAAGCATCAACTTACTTTCGCGAGGGACGTCGTAGGCCACCTCATCGTGTTCGAAGCGGTCGACGCCTGAAACAGCGTTGGACCGTGGTGGGTGGGGCAGTCATGTTCACGTAGATGTCAAGAAAAGTGAGAGCAAAAACAGGAAGCACACACGAGGTACAGAAGCATTGCACAAAAGGCACATACACAAGACCACAAAAACATACACGCAAGCACACACTTGCGTACACACTCACGAGCACAGGCAAATGCCCGCAAGTGCCCGCGCACCATATCTGTCGGCGAATTCAGAGACGAGGAGCACGCCCGTGAGTTTGAGGGCGACAAACATGACAAAGGACAATGCAGCCGTCCAAAGCGACAGCACAAGCACGCCCAGCACGTGCCACCCAAACCGCCGAAAGGCGTCTGGAGACTGTTTACATGTGTGTGTGTGTGTGTGTGCATGCGCGTGCGAGTGTGAGGGGTTGACGTTGTGTCGTTGTTTGTTTGTGAGCAATGTGGACGCACAGTGTGTGATCAGCGTGCCACTGCAAAAGGGACCAGGCACAAAACGAGGGCTGGGGATGGGCTCGCAGCTCGCCCGAAATCCAGCAGCACAAAACAGCAACGACTCCCTGCACAACTGGAGCACACACACACACACACACACACACACACACACACACACACTCTCTCTCTCTCTCTCTCTCTCTCTCTCTCTCTCTCTCTCTCTCTCTCTCTCTCTCTCTCTCTCTCTCTCTCTCTCTCTCTCTCTCTCTCTCTCTCTGAACGGCAGCAGCAGCCTGACTCTTCGCAGTGTCAGCACTTGTACCGGATCGTAGACGATGCCTTGCTGGAAGAAAAGCCACGGGCCAAGGAGGAGGCCGCAGGCGCCAGGGGCAAAGTGGGCGCTGCTTGCGTCAATCGCATCGTCGACTCTCCGCCTTTGAAGTACAGTACTGAATCCAAGATAGCTGCAGTGGTGTGCATGGTGCAGGTGCAGGTTGGAAGTGCGTAAGTAAGATGTGAGCGATACCGCAACGTCGCAGTGAGGATGAGGACATGGATGCAGGTGTGTGGTTGCTGTGTCAAGACGATGTCACGTGGTGCGGCTTCCCTTTGCGCAAGAACCATTCCAAGTGGCCCACACTGACGTGAACTGACCTGATCCCACCGGCAACACCGACAATAAGCGCCGCCCACGGCTGCACAAATCCTGCGCATGCTGAAACGGCCACCATGCCGGCAATGCTGCCGTTCACAGCACGTGTGATGCTCAGCACCCCACGCTGCGGTGTGATGCCATGCGAGCGTATTTGTGTGTTGTGTGTGTGTGTGTTGTGTGGACATGTGGTGAGTGTACATGTTGTGTGTGTGTTGTGTTGACATGTGGTGAGTGTACATGTGAGTGTACACGTGAGTGTACATGTTGTGTGTGTGTGTGAGGGTGTTACGGCGACCATGTTGGAGCACTGCAACATGAAGACCATGCATAATGTCATGGCAGAAAACGACATCAAGGCAGCACAGAATGCTAGAATGCGTTGAAGGCACAGTGTTCAGCACAATCGAAACGTGAAACGGAAAGAGCAGCGACGTCGCTGTAGGCCGAGCGCAGGCCAGCTCTTACTCTTAGCTTGCTGTGGGCAACCATGGCCAAACCGCCACCACTGGCTGCAAGCACTGCATAGTGGTCAGTGCGCAAGACAAAATGATGAGATGATGAAACGCAGCAGGGCAACCAGGCAAGCACTGAACATACTTCGAAACAAGGGAGAAAAAAACTCCTCTGGCAGTTAGTGAGAAAACTACGAGACATGCACACAGACAGACAGACAGACAGACAGAGAGACAGAGAAACAGACAGACACACACACATACCTGTGTTGATCATTGCCAGGCCAATACCAGAAAGTGCATGCGTGTTCACACGCAGCGTGTACCTGAGGGAAGGCAGCAAAGCGAAGCAGGCATGGTGTTCGGTGTGTGATGAGATGGCGAGGGAGGGGGATATGTGTTGGAGAAAGTGCGCGAGAGTGAATGCGTGAGACGCACACACACACACACACACGCACACGCACACGCACACACACACACACACGCACAAGCCATCGGCCCAGTCAAGGTTGCTTGCAGGCAAATCTTACGAGACAACAGAGCCCCCGTTGAAGAAGAGGAAGCCAAAGGACAGGATGAACAGACCAAGGACCACCAGGGGGATCGAATGTGGCTGTCAAGGCGTGGGTGTGCAAAAGACCGATATTCGCACATGTGAAGATAATCAGGATAGAGGCAAGACTTTGAAAGGCGAGTGTGCTGCTGGAAAACAAAAAGGGGGAGGGGGGTGGCGGGACCAGTCGGGCAGTGGTGACGGCCTGACGGTACGTACGTCAATGCTGTCCACATCACGGTTTCAAGTGACAGGAAGACAAGCCCTCATACTGCGACCACCCTTCGACCATCTGCTCTCTTACCGGGTTGCGCTTGAAGTTGCTCTGTGTGCCCCGGTCAAAGCCTGGGCCAGCCAGCATGCAGCCAACGAGCGCTGCCATCCCACCGACCATGTGCACAGCACCGGCGCCAGCAAAGTCCTTTGGTGGTGATGGTGGTGGTGGTGGGAGGAGTGTGTGTGTGTGTGTGTGATTACATGTGTGCAAGAGCGTGTGTGAACTTGTGCAGTGTCAATTAACGTCTGGGGCTGAAAAGACGCTGCATGTCATTGTTGCGCTGGCATGACTTCAGGTAAAAGGGTGTGTGGGCACCCACCCACCCACACACGCACGCACCCTCACCCACACACACCCACACACCCACACACGTATATGCACATGCACAAGCTGGAAAGCACACCCGACAGCGCCCTCATGTCAACTCTCAGCTGCATTCACCCTTCTTCCTCGCTTCCTCCATCCCTCTCAACAGCGTTGTGCGACTGACCGCAACGCCAACATTGCTTGAGCCGGTGAGCAGCCAGCCCTTTTTCGCCCACAGCCAGTGGGCGGGTAGCGGGTAGATGAAGGCGGGAAAGAGGAAGGAGTACGTCATGTAGGTGGTGAAGGACGAGCGCGTGCCGAGCGCACCGGATATGATGGTCACAGAGGTCGCGGCAAATGCGTACTGGAACAGGAAAAACGGCAGCTCGCACGAGCTTACTCCCGCCAACGCAAACCCGCTTCAGTGGCAACGTGTGGTTGCATAGACGCGGGGAGCAGCAGCACATTTACACACATACACGCACACACGTACATGTGCACGTAGGACTCGCGAGTGAGACTGACGAAAAGGTGGTGTGCTTTCAATGGGCCACAAGACGCGGCTCACAATCAGATCGCACGACACCTTGAACACACACACACACACACACACACAAACACACACACAGACACACACACATACAAACGCACACACACACACACTCCAGGCAGTCTGTACCAAACAGCGGCATGAAGATCATGCGTACCGGGTGCCTAGGATGATGCCTGTCTCGCCTTCGTCAAAGTTACCGCCAAATGCAAGGGCGTAGCCGAAGATGTAAAAACCGAGCAGCCCAACAAAGCTGTCTGACATGTTCTGCAGGGGCGGTGGTGTCACATGCAAAGGAGAACATTATTATCAACATGAGGGAGATACGTGTGTGCACGTGTGTACGCGTGTACAAGATGATGTGGGTGCAAGCAAGGGCCGAGCAGCCCAGCGACCGCGTGGGACTGCCGGCACATAGGAGATCAAGACTGAGAGGAGCAGTGTACTGGTGCGCCGTGTGCTGTGCTGGTGTGACACACCTTGAACAGGATGTTGGCGACGCCTTGTTGGGTGCAGTTGGTGTTGTCAATTCAAGAGGTAAACAGCACGAAGAGAAGAGGGCACATGCATCATACACAAGTGTGTACATATGTGTTGGGTTGATGTGAGACATCAAGGAAGCAAGTGAGCAAGCAAAAGTAGAAACGTGAAGGCAGGCAGCCACAAGTTGGCACGGAGATCGATCTCGCAGTGTCAACCCGAATGTTGCACACGTGCGCTACACACATACACACATGCACACAGGATGAACAGCAGTTCAGCAAGAGCGACGCTCACCGTGCTTTGGCAAGAAGCCGGCTTCCAGCATGGCAAAGCCGCATTGCATGACTGAGGCAAGAAGCAAGCGTGTATGATGAGATGGTGTTCAAGATCCACGAGACCACGATCAAGAGCCCGTACGACGACCTGCCACCACACACACACACACACACACACACACACACACACACACACACACACACACACACACACACACACACACACACACACACACACACACACACACGCACGCACAGATGACGGCGCCGCCGAAGATGAGGAGAACCAGGCGCTCAATATCCGAGCCGTGGACGTTCTCGTTGCAGTTGGGATCCGGTCCAACCGCCAGCAACGCCGTGTTGTTGAGCATCTTGGCTTGGCTTGTCTTCTCTTGGTGTGCGTGGTGGTTGCCAACAAGCGAACAAGGTAGATCGAGAGGCAGCGATGCAGCGAGGCAGCGATGCAGCGATGCAGCGAGTGAGGTAGCGAGGGTAGGTTGAGAGAAGTAGTGAGGCAAGGCAGAAGGCAAGCAAGCGCCAGCATCAGGGCTTGCGGCGGATGGCTGCCGTGCTTGCTTGCTGGGGCTGGCTGATTTGTGTGGCAGTCAGCTTCGTGTTTGTTGTTTGTGTGGGGATGATTGATCGCGCAATGTATCAGAACGAAACGAAAACTATTGGAGGACACCGTCAATATTCGCAAGACAAAGAGGCACAAGCCAGCCGTCACACACGAAGGACAGCAACTCGAGCCACACCTCGCTCCTTGCCTGAGACTCTTCACTTGCCTGTTTGCCCGTTTGAGGTGTTTGGTGTGGTTTTGTTTTCTCTCATCCCAGCCACGTGCAAAGGAGAGAAAGGAAAGGGAGCAAGCGAGAACAAGACGGAAGAAAGGAAGAAAGGAAGAAGAATAAGAAGAACAAGAACAACATGAACAAGAAGAACAAGAACAAGAACAAGAACAAGAACAAGAACAAGAAGAACAAGAAGAAGAACAAGAAGGGGAAGAACACAAAGGGCAACGACGAGGGCACAGTGCTCGCAGCTTCGCAGCACCTGAGGAGTGCCAGTGCACAGGCGCCACGAAAAACTAACAGGGCAAGGAACGCGGGCGGGAGAGATGGGGAGGCAACAATGAACGGGAAACGGGAATGAGGTTCTAACGACGCGTGACGCTTGGGCAACTACATAGTTGACTGTCACATCACATTACATGACAAACTGACAGACAAAGAAGGCAGACACAAACCCGAAACACCGCAAGCGAGCAAGTAAGCTACGCGCGAAAAAAACAAAACAAAAAAACCAAGCTACGCATGACTACACAATTACCACGCTGCCTCCTTCTTGAACCACTCACTCACTCACGGAAAAGAAGAAAATGGAACCGGTGCAAGTTATGACTGACGCACGCACACACACACGCCCACACCCACACCCACCCACCCACACCCACACCCACACCCACACACACACACACACACACACACACACACACACACACACACACACACGGCTACGCTTGCCCACACAACGAAGACACAACCACCACCCACCACCAGCCAGCGATGGTTGCCGTCACGCCATTTGCAGGCTGGTGATGGCTGCGTGGAGATCGGAAAAGGACGAGCGCTGTGTCGGGTCCGGCACCAAGCACATGCTGTACATGATGGACCGAATCGCCGGTGGTCCCAGTGGCGGCTCCTCCAGCCGCAACGTGCCCTCCACCACCGCCTCACGCACATCCTCGTTGCTGGTGAGGTGGTCATAGGGGCGGCTGCCACGTGAGAAGATCTCAAACAGCAGCACGCCAAAGCTCCACACGTCTGCAGCCGGCTGATAGGCGCCGTCGTCGCCACGAAGACACTCCGGTGCAGCCCACCGCACGGGCAGGCGCTCCGTATCGGGCAGGGGTCGCCCAGAGCCAGGCCACTGCGCCAACGCAAAGTCGGCAATCTTGGGCGTGTATGCCTCTGCGAGCAGCACGTTGCGTGCAGCAAGGTCCAGGTGCACGACGGAACGGGCTGCGAGGTAGCGCATGCCAGATGCCACGCCCGCCGCAAACGCTTTCAGGCGCTTTGGCTGCACAGCGCCCGCAGAGCGCAGGCGAAGGTAGCTGTGCAGGTCGCCACGCTCACAGTAGGTCATCACCAGCTTGGGCAAGGGCGTGTCAAGGCACAAGCCGTGCATCTTGAGCACGTTGTCGTGGTCGAGCGTTGCCAGCACCATGGCCTCGTGCAGCAGGCTGTCATATCTGCTGCGGTGGCGACACGCCTTGATGGCCACGCGCCCCTCCTGGTATTGGCCAACATGCACGCGTGCAGTTCGCCCTTTGCCTGTATCGCCCAGTATTTGGGGGTTGGGCAGACACAATTGAGGGGGTAGGGTAGGGTAGAGGTGTTGATGGCGGTTGTACGTGAGCACATGCACGAAGGTGGGGATGGAGGAAAAGGAGAGGGGTGAGGCGTAGGAATTGTGACTGGAAGTGGGGCGCAGGGAAACGCCGCATTGGGATACAGCAACGAATGACAGCGCACACACCGACGAGACACAAACAAGCAGACATAAATCAATGAACAAGCAACAGGAACGAGCGAACAAGCACAACTGACCGAGCACGCGGCCAATGCGGACGTCGGAGGAGGAGAGGAGAAACGGGCGCAGGAGATGCGTGCGCGCATCGTCACGGTACAAGGAATGCAATTCCGGTTCCGGGTTGAGGTTGATCAAGTCGCCATCACCACCGCCACCACCAAGGGAGGAGGACGCGGTGGCAGCGTCGGCGTTGAGGTGCGTGTGAGAGCTGGCCTTGGAGATGGACGCAGAAGACGGGATGCTGCACAGTGCGCCACACACGCACAAGCTGTCGAGGAGGGGCCTGTTGCAGCTGGGGCAGCGGCACACGCCCTTGTCGTCGCACGAGGCCAGGGGGCGCGGGCAGGGTGTCTGGGCAACAGCACGATCGTGCAGGTCCTGACATGAAGTGTGGATTGTGTGTGTGTTGGGGGGGGGGAGAGGGTGGAGAACGCGCGGGTGAGGAAGGCACGTAGATTGGTGGACATGTGTGAGGAGAGGAACGTAGTGGAGGAGTGGAGCAGGATAAACACTCGGCATTGCACGTGCACATGACACAGGTGCACGTGACAGGATCTCGCATACACACGCACAGTCTATGTGCGCGCAACTGCCACCCATACACACACACGCAAGTAGGCATATGTGTGCAACTTCATGTACGGGCCCATGCACAATTGTGGGTACCTTCATGAGCTCCTCAAAGTTTCCGTATGGGTCCTGGCGGCCAAAGCGGGCGAGGCGCAGGGCACCTGGCACGCCCTCTACCGCCGCGTGCTGGATCTCGCCCCTGGACATGCTGCTGATGATGAGTTGGCCGACATTTGTTTCGCTCAAGCGGAGGAGGTAGGGTGCCGTGCCGCCACGCGAGCTGTTGATGAGACGCGCCTCCGTCTCCATGCTGGTCAGTCTGCACACGCACACGTTCGCGGACGTGGCCAAAAGGTGGGGGGGGGGAGTGAGGAAGTGTGTGTGTGTGTGTGTGTGTGCGTGATGCCACGAGGGCAAAGGGCAATGTCACAAGATGGCATGTACACAGATACAGACACAGACACACGCACAGACACACAGACACACAGACACACACACAAATACCAACAGTCCCAAACACACACACACACATACATACACATACACGCACACACGCGCGCGCAGCATAGACGCTATACGCACCTGCCGTGGAATGCACGGTGGTTGCGGAGATTGAAGACAAAGACGGTGAGATGCAACGCGCACGACGGACAGCAGCGCTTGCTGGTGACGGGGTGGCGTGGGGAACAGCGGCCACACACGAGCCCACCGCACGTCCGGCAGTGATGGCGTCGGATGGTGAAGGTGAACGTCGTGCCACACGCACGGCACTTTGGTGAGTCGTTGTTGGGCTGCCACAGCTGCTGGTCAACAAGAAACGGCGCGGGATCAAAGTTGCCCTTCTCATCAAACTGCATCGGTGGGAGGTCCGGTGTTGGCAGCTTCCACGGCAGAATCACAGACATGCGGCTGTCGCTTGAGCTGCTCATGGGGCTGCCGGGGTCCTCCGGGTACCTGCTGTACGTGTCGAGCGCGTCTGTCAACTCGGGGGAGGACGCGACTGAGCTCAGCGCGGGCGTGACGTGGCGCTCCGGCGTTGTGAATCCTGTCGATGTGGCCGTGGCCGTGGTGGCGGGCATGTGCGATGGGTCAAAGTGGTCGTGGTGATCGTGGTGGGGATGGTGCTCGTCGTTGGCGGCGCCGTCGTAAACGTCATCAGCTTCACTGTTGCCACTGTTGCATTTGCTGCTGCTGCTGTTGTGGTTGTTGTTGTCGTCGTCAATGACTTGCACGCGATAATGTGCGGCGCTGCGGCGGGTGTGTGGAACATGAATTGTGTCGCTGCTCAGATCAAGCGGCCCAACCAACTCGTGCTCCTGTTGTTGTTGCTGTTGTTGCTGTTGTTGTTGTTGTTGTTGTTGTTGTTGTTGCTGTCGTTGCTGTTGTTGTTGTTGTTGTTGTGCCTCGGGATGGCTGAGTGGCTGCACAGGGGGAGGGCCGCCACTTGACAAGGTGCCATCTTCGTGCTGGTGTGTGTCCGGTGGTACCGCGTCGTCGGGAATCGTGCGCACACCTGTTGGCTGCACTAACCTCGCTCCTTCCTTCACACCTGCGCGCACGACAGTGTCCAGCAACGCAGCCACCACCCCAGCAACCTCCTCATCTTGGGTGGCGTTTGTGTTAGCGCTTGTGCTGGCGGTTGTACTGGCGTGCATTGCCGTGTGTTCTGTTAATGCGGCCGTCACCACATCATCTGTTGTGTTGGCCGCAACACTGGCTATCTGCTCCTGTTGAGCTCCTTCATAACTGCCGTTTTGTTGTTGTTGTTGTTGTTGTTGTTGTTGTTGTTGTTGTTGTTGTTGTTGTTGTTGTTGTTGTTGTTGCCATGCGCTGGTGGAGGTGCTTGCACTGGTTGTGTGTGCATGTGCCACCGTGGTGGTGGTGGCTGCTGTTGTTGCTGCTGTGATGCCGCTGTCAGCCGCCGTGGCTGCTGGGTCCTTGTCCTGTCCATCATCCCACGTGGTGTCCGCATCTGTTGGGTGTCCATGTCCGTTGCTGTTGTTGTGTGTGTCGGTGGCGTCGTGCTCGGTGTGGTGGGCGCTCGCGTGTGCTGCTGGCGGCATGTCGCTGCTGTGTGGTGCTGTTGGCGTTTTAGCGTCCTCAGTCACAGCAACGCCGCTGCCCGACGACGGGGATAATGACACCTGCTTGTCCTCTTCTCGCGCGGCAGGGTGTGCGTGGTTGTCGTCCATGCCGTTGGTGTGCATGGAGGGAGTGGGAACACCTGGCCTGCTCCTATCCTTGCAGCAGCTGTCGGAGTCAGTGCAGTTCTTCCTTCGCTCGTTTGCGGGTGTCCTGTTCAAACCAAAGCAATTCCAGAGGGCAGGAGGAAAGTGGTGAGACATTGCTCAGCACCCGATTTCGGTGTGCAGAAAAAAAAAGAGGGGGGGGGGGTATTGGCGCTCGCTCGTCGAGAGACTGTGTGTGTCTTTGCTGGCGGGGCGGGGAGGTTCGCGCTCGCTTTGGGAAGAAGGAAAATACACAAATGGTCACCCACCAATGGGGCGATGGACCAGAAGCAACAGCGCACAAGTCCACAAACAAAGAGACTCGACGAGCATGGACGACAAAGGAGATTGGTCCAGTCCAGTGTATGTGATGGTGTGTCACAAACAACAAACAGCGCAGCGGCGGGTGCGGATTTTGGTGTGTGATGACGCATTGGTACCACAGCAAGCCGAGCAAGCCATGACTTGCTTTGAGTTTTTGCTGTTGGGTGTGCGTTTCACAAACCTCAAGTCAAGGTGGAGAAGATCAATGCTTTGTGAACACGCCGGGCGGCCGCTCACTTGCTCGCTCGCTTGCTTGCTTGCTTGTGTCCGATGCTCTCTCGACGAACTGGCTCAGCAGACTCCAGCTTTGCTTTGCTTGCTTGTTTGCACACCGCTCACACCCACGATGCAAGTCCAAGACACAAATCGACGAGCGTCGTTTCGTCGTGTGTGTGTGTGTGTGTGTGTGTGTGGGAAAGCGAGGGCTGCAGAAGAACTGACTGCTGCAAACAAACCAAACAAACTTTGCAAATTGCATTTGATTAAACCTGTCTGACTTGAATTATTCTCCATGCGTTGCAAAACAAAAGAGTGGCGAAGTGGTAGCGAAACGGAGTGGTCCGGAATTTGTGCCAGCTGAAGGAGACACAGCAGAGATGCGCACAAACACACACCTGCCAACCAACCAAGTGAGCGAGAGTGCGCAAGAAGCGAGAGTCGGTGTGTTGAGAGAGTTGAAGGAGAGAGGTGCGACCAACGATAGGAGGAGACACCTACCTGACTTACAGAGCACGAACGAGAGCAAGAGCAACAGCACAGGTCAATAAATACAGGAGAGATCCCAGGTACCAGATCAACTCTCGCACAGCACACACAGCGGCATGCAGGCGATCGCTGCGCGAGTGACGCGACGCGGCCACCGCCATCATCAGCAACACCAACACCAACAACAACACCAGCACGATGCCCTTCTTGCAAGCGCAAGTGGTGGCTTGATGAAGCGGCACAGCCACAGTGCAAATGGCCACCCCATGTGTCAGGATGACATTGATGTCTGCCGCCACAACCTTCGCCAATGGATTCGAGGTGAGCTTGCTCTGTATGTGTGTGTGTGTGTGTGTGTGTGTGTGTGTGTGTGTGTGTGTGTGTGTGTGTGTGTGTGTGTGTGGTTTTGTGTGCGTGCGTCTGTGTGGTTGTGTGTGTGTGTGTGCGTGTGTGTGTGTGTGTGTGCAGAAGTTGCAACTCCAGGACTCCATCGGCCTCCGTCAATCATTTGGGTTGTCGCGCCTCACTGCCATGTTTCCCACCCTATGCCACACACCTCCACGCATTTCTTAGATGAGTTTCACATGGAGCTGGAGCTTGGACCAGGCCTCGAAGAACTCCGTAAGAGCAATCATCTGTGTTGCTGTCGCGAGAGCGTGCTGATCTTGATGCCATTTGGGCTGCATCTGGCTGTGTGTGTGTGTGTGTGTGTGTGTGCTTGCGACACAAGGGTGCTCTTTGGTGCGAACAATACTAGTACAGCGCGTGATAACACACACACACACACGCGCGCGCGCACGCGCACGCACGCACACTTTCACACGCACACGCACACGCACACTTTCACACGCACACACGCTCACTAACACTTTGTCCACGCGTTCGGTCCAATAGGCACGGGCGTGGTGCTGTGTAAGGTGGCTGGCATGATTGAGCTGGCCCAAACAAAGGCACTGCTGGCAGATGGAAAGCCGTGGAAGCCCATGCGCCTCAAGTTCAACGAGAAAGCCACCATAGGTGCCTTACCGACTGTCTCTTTTGCTGCTTGCTTTGTGCTGACTCCATGCTGTCATTGTCCACAACGGCACTCATGCAAAGGCGCGCGCCTAAATTCGACTCCAAATCCCATTGTGTGTGTGTGTGTGTGTGTGTGTGTGTGTGTGTGTGTGTGTGTGTGTGTGTGTGTGTGTACCCTTTTGCGTGCCAGTTCAACCCTCTCACCTGCACACATACGTGCGGTTACATGTGTTCTTGCTTTCTTGCTCTTGCTCAATCCACGTGGACCTTCCGCTAGGGTCGTTCTTTGCCAAGGACAACGTCAACAGGTTTCTTGCGTGGTGCGCGCGCTACGTGGACAAGAGCTTGCTGTTCAAGCTGCATGATCTCAACGGCCACCCAGACAGAGACGGCGCTGTCCTCGGCTGGTGCGTTGTTGTGGGATTAAGGATGCTTTGCGCTTGTGTGTGTGTGTGTGTGTGTGTGTGTGTGTGTGTGCGTGTGCGTGTGTGTGTGCGTGTGTGTGTGCGTGTGTGTGTATGTGTGTGTGTGTGTGTGTGTGGAGTGTGTTGCATGTTTGGGTGTGGGCTTCAGATTCAGAGGTGTGCGCTGTTTAGGGCGCTTTTGCGACGCTAGTGCATGTGTGAATGTGCTCGTTGCGTTCGTGTATGCGCGCGCGTGTGTGTGTGCACGCTTGAGGCTGTATCAATATCGAGGGTGCAGCCCATGCCACAGAGCACGATCTGAAGAGCTGAAGCTTCCCTCACATGTCCACGCTTGCACTGCGTCTGTCCACTCGCAGCTTGACGCGTCTGGCGCGGTCGCAGGTGGCCTCCACGACACCACTTGATGCAGTGGAGCACAGCGTCCTTGCCGGCACTTACGAGCCAGGTGCCGTGATGAGTTGGCGAGAGGGCAATGCCAGCCGATTCATCGTCACCGCAGAAGCACACACACACACATGCCGACATGCTTACGTGCACATGCCTGCATGCATACGCGCACGCACGCACATACACACACACACACACACACACACACACACACACACACACACACACGCACATACATATACACACACACACACGTCCACATGCATGTTTCCTTTGCCAGATGTTGCTACGGTTACGGCTGCAGCAAATGCGGTGCTGTCGGACCACAACGGGACAGTTGGCGACCACCAAGGCAACGGCGCCTTTGTCATTACGAACGCGACAACGAGCGACCAACAATCGCTCGTCCTCGCCATGGTGGATCAGGTACGAACACATGTTGGTGCGTGTGTGTGTGCAGGGGTATTTGCTGATAGTGATGGGAATTGTCGTCCAGCGAACTCACAATCCATGCATGCACACATTCAAACCCCGTCACACAAACAAACACATGTCCACATTCGCACAACATTTATTCAACCAACCCCCCACCCACCCCACCCACCCCACACACACACACACACGCACCAGGCCGTGTTTGCGTGTCCACGTGAGGCGGCCACAGCGTCTCCGTTCGTGTGGTCGCCGCTGCAACGTTTTGTTGCATCAGACACAAGGCCCCGCGGCTCCGTGGCCAAAATCCTCGAGGTCTTCAGATCTCCACACAGAGCAGGTCAGGAGATGGCACGATACTATGCACACACATAGTGTCACGGTGTCTGTCAGTCTGTTTGTCTATCTGTCTGTGTGGTTGTCTGTCTGTCTGTCTGTGTGTTTGTCTGTCTGATTGTCTGATTGTTTGTCTGCTGTCTGTCTTTTTCTCTCTCTCGCGCGCTCTTCCCAACTCTCTACGCTCTTCCCGTCTTTTTCGTGCTCTTCCCGTCTCTCACACAAGCTGTACAACCTACGCAAGCCACACCTCACACATTTCTGCGTCATTGCCTGCATGCATGCATGCATGTACAGGTCACCACCACCAGCACCAGCAGCAGGAGAAACCCGCACCGCCACCGCGTCACACAAAGCCAGAACTGAAGACAGTGCCCTCCCAGACGCTGGACGCCAAAGCACAGCGAGCAGATGCCCATGCTGATGGTAATGCGGACACGCAAACATCTGCTGCTGTCACAGCGGAACAAACATCCGGGGAGGAGGCACGCCACGTGGCTGCAGAGACCACAGCCGACACGAGCAACAACACCGTTGCTGTGAGCGAGCAGCCTCATCCCGCCGCTCATCACGCTCATCGCGACATTGCCTCCAATGGGTGTAACCCAACGTCAAGCACAATGGCTGATGCAACAGAACCGAGCGTGCTTTCGGCGTCATCCGCAGCGCCATCATTGTCGCCATTGATGAGCGGTGAAGCGGACACAAACTCCATCGACAGCGACGATTCTGAGGCATCACAGTCACTTCAATCGTCTGGTGGGTGCCGCTGTTCTTGTGTTTGTTGTCAACGATGGCATTCGTCACTTGGCAGCAGACATTGCGCGCGCGCACACACGCACACACACACACACACACACGCACACACACACGCACACGCACACACGAATGCAAACGAGCAAACTCGCGGGCAAGAGTGTGCATTCCTATTGTTCCTCCGTGTCAAACTGTACCCATAGCCCTGACCTCACAACCACACCCACAACCACAACCCACGCGCGCACACAACCATGCTGTGCAGATGCGAGCTGCCTTGCACGGGGACCACAACGGCCGCTGCCGCTTCCAAAGCCGCGGCGGGCCAGTGCAGCAACAGACGGCGGCAATGGCAGTAGCTATGGCAGTGCAAGTCGTAAGACGAGCACGTGCTCCTACATGTCGTCCTCTGGTGCTGCCAGCAGTGGGGAGGCAACATCACCGACAGAGCCTGCAGGCATGTGGGCAGCGTTGAAGCCACAACTGCGTGCTGCAAGCAGTCGCGCATCGTGCTTTTCGTTTGCGGGATCCACCACAAATGCCACGCCCACGTGGTCAACGCGTACCTCGGCTGCCGACGTGCTTGCAGGCATGAAGAACTCCCTTCCGCTGCCACGCAAGCTTCGGCACCGCAGAGAATCGGAACAACAACAACAACAACAGCAGCAGCAACCACAGCAGCAGGAGCAACAGGAGCAGCAGGAAGCATGTCAGACTGCAGCAGAGGAAACACAACCCAGCACGGCGCCTTCCACGCCCACACTGCGTCCCCACAACGAGGCGGAGGGAGGTAACATTGAGAAGGTCAGCAAGCAAAGCAGCGTGGAAACGATTCGACACGTTAGCTCCAGCGAAGCAGACACGACATCAACTGCAGCATCGAGTGGTCAGGGGAGCAGTGTGGACGCGCGTGTGTTCGCAACAAGCACCAGCAAGAGCACAGCAGAGGCTGGACGCAAGGCTGTTGGCGGCGCTGACAACACTGAAGCAGCAGCCGACACTGTGCTGCTGACGCAGGTTTGTTTGAGATGACCGTCGTGCAAGCCTTCTTTTGCTTGCAAGCACGTGACCTGCAGTGTGTGCGGCGTGCGGTTGTGTATGTGTATGTGTATGTATGTGTATGTGTGTGTATGTGTGTGCGTGTGGATAGTTGAGCAAAACACAACACAAAAACCAACACTCTGGGTCACGAGAAGCTCCACGGTGTGTGTGCGTGCGTGTGTGTATGTGTGTGTATGTGTGTGTATGTGTGTGTGTGTGTGTGTGTTCTGTTGCAGCTACGCAACCCCAACTAACCGTTGCACCCATTCCCGCGACGCGTGTGCTTTAGGAGGAGCTTCAATCACGATTGGAGGAATATGCGGAGCAAAAACTGAAGCGCACGGAGCGCGACCACCAGGAAGCCTTGACGCGCCTCGAATACGAGTGCGTTGCCTTGTGTTGTGTTGTGTTGTGTTGTGTTGTGTTGTGTTGTGTTGTGTTGTGTTGTGTTGTGTTGTATTGTGTTGTGTTGTCTGACTATTGGCGTCTTTGAGAGTGCTTGTGCCACACTGCATGTGTGGTTCTCCATGCTTTTCACTACCAAGCTGCTTTTGCCATGCCATGCTGCTATCACCTCGTCATTCACTTCAAGACTTGACTCATTATTTATCTCCTCTCCTCTCGCATTTGCGCCTGTACAGGCGAGATGACTTGCAGCGACGACTGCAAGCACTGGAGGAAGCAGCAGAAGAGGTGAGCACGTGCAAACACTCAGAGCAACACGCACACACATATACACACGCACACACACACACATACGCACACACACATACGCACACACACATACGCGCGCACACACGCACGCACGCACACACGCACGCACACACACCGTGGAGCTTCTCGTGACCCAAAGTGTTGGTTTTTGTGTTGTGTTTTTCTCAGCTATCCCTTTTTTATCAATTCATCTGCGCGCTGTTGTGTTGTTGGTTTTGTTGACAACGCGATCAGGTTGAGAGTTCATATGACGAGAAGCTGAAGAAGATGCAGAAGCAGCGCGATGACGCCAAGAAAATTGCAAACATGCTGCAGGACAGCATTGCAAACTTGCGCATGGTACGTGCACGTGCACGTGCATGCGTGCAACGTAAAGGGCGACTGCACGTGTGTGTGTGTGTGCTTGTGTTGTCGTACCTTGTCTTGTGTTGTACTTCATTGTGCGACGTATCACTGTGTTGGCCGATTTGTTGCTAAAGACCCCCTCTCCTACCAGCAACTCACCCCACTTGCTTTTCATACACTCGCTCGCTCATTCATACACTCACTCGCGTATTCACACACACACACACACTAACGCACTGTGCCATGTATCACAGGATCTTGCGGACAGCAAGAATGAGTCTGCTGCGCGCATTGCTGAGTTGGAACAAGAGCTAACAGAGGCAAAGGAAGCGGCGGCAGTGGTCACCCCGTCATCGTCCACGGAATCAACCGCCACACCGGCGCCATCACCTGCTACAGCAGCCACACCTGCTTCAATCACGCCACATACTTCGCAGCACGACACGACCGCCGAGCGCGAGGAGCCCATGTTCCTGTCCCGCCTCAAAGCATCCGTCAAGTGAGTGGGGAAAGGGAGGGGAGGAAAGAGTGGAAGTAAGAGGGAAGAATGAAAAGACGTGAAGGGATTGGTGGTGGAAAGGGAAGGGATGGGAAGGGAAGGGGAAGGGAAGCAGTGGACACTGTGTGCTTTTGAGCCACGACACTCGCTCACGCATACGTGACACGTGTCCTGCCACTCTCGTGCGCGCCTTCTTGGCTCATGTGGGTGCGACCTGACTGTACGATGTGTCATAACTTGCTTGCAGGCAATCGTGTGATGACATGCGCAAGGGCCTCAATTCTGCGGACGACGGCGCAGCAGCAGCAGAGAGGATCCGTGAGCTGGAAGCAGCGCTGGCAAACGCCGAGGAGGAGTTCCAGACGCAGCGGGCAGCCAACGGGTTTCGCATGGTGTCCTTGTCCTCGCAGGTGTACACGTTGGAGCAGGCCAACCAGGACCTGGAGAGGCAGATTGCCACGCTGCGGTCGTCACTGACAGATGCGCTTGTGCAGCACCTGCTTCCACTCTCCAACCTCAAGACGACACAAATCCAGCAGATGCTGCACTCGGCTTCCTGCCCTGCTGCGACCGGGGAGGACGCGAGCGCAGGCAGTGCACACGAGCACGTTGCAGTTCCGCAGGGCAACACCTTGGTTTAGGGCATTGATAGATTGATCATCAGCGGCATGAATGCTTGATTACATCTATGAATGGTTTTTTGTGTTGCTTCCTTTCTTCTTTTGCTTGTTTGCTTGTGTGTTGCTTGTTTGCTTGTTTGCTTGTGTGTTGTTGGGTTCTGTTGTTGCCATCTCTGCGATGCGCGTTCCCTCCCTTGTTTTCCCATTCTCCCATTGTTCCGTCCTGTTCTCACTGGCCCAAAGACCTGTGTCTGGGTGTCTCAGCCTTTCTTGCTTTTCACCATCCCTAAAACGGCGCTTCACACCAACCGCAAGCCGCAAGCAAGGGGGAGAAGAGGGTGAAAGGGTGAAGAGAAGAGGGTGAAGAAGAAGAGGTCTGAAGAAGAAGAGGGTGAAGACTGCCAGCAGCGCGCAGCCACACCGCTTTGCGGAAACGTGTTGGATATCATTCAATAATTGTCCGCAAACAACTGCGCACGTTGGGGAAGAGTGCAGCAGTGAACGACGACGATAATGGAGACGAAGGCAATGGCGCACGGTTATGGCGCAGGGAGGAGGCGAAGGGCCACAGGACACGATGAGCGCATCAACATCTACATCACATGTGGCCAGCCACTCATCTGGTCCCCAGAAGGTGCGCCCATGAGCAGTGCATGCGTGCGTGTGTGTGTGTGTGTGTTATGTGAGTTTGTGCATGTGTGTGTGTGTGTGTTGCACCTGTTCAAGGCAACAGAGGCTCATCCGTGCACACACACACACACACACACACACACACACACACACACACACACACACACACACACACACACACACACACACACACACACACACACACCTCTTTCCTTTTGTCTACATTGGCGTGCAGAGCAAGAAGTGCTGCGAAAACAGTACAACATCGTCTGCTATCCAATCGGAACATTGCCCAACAACGTCACACAGGTGCTTGTGTGTGTGTGTGTGTGTGTGTGTGTGTGTGCGTGCGTGTGCGTGCTGTGTGAACTTTGCCTTCTTGTGTCCTTGTGCACATGTGTGTGTGTGTGTGTGTGTGTTCACCTTGCGCTCGAGATACTCGTCCTCATCACTGCACGCGCCCTTTTTCCAATCCCGCTGTGCACAGAACATCTTTAAAGGCGTTCCTTACATGATTGACAAAGAGGCAGTGCGCCTACTTCTTGATTTCGGTGCGTGTGTGTGTGTGTGTCATGAGAGGGAACTGGCACATGGCATGCGTCTCCCTTGCCACATTCGCAACCCCATGTATGCTGATGACACGTTCACGTCCCCTGCCCACCTCTTAGACAAGGCGCAGCTGTGGAGCGGCGACGATCTGGCTCCGTTGCTGCCTATGGACGTTGCCTCACTGCAGCGGCATCGCCTCGACAGCATCATGCTCCAGGTAACGAGCATACACGCACACGCACACGCACACACACATACAACAGCATGTGTGAATGTGCGCGCTCTGGTGGTTGTGCACACACACGATATCCAAGGTTTCTGACCAACACACTGCTCACAGAAAGGCCTGCATGCTGCTGTTGTGTCGTCGTCGTCGTCGTCGTCGTCGTCGTTGTTGTTGTTGTTGGGTGTGGCAGCTGGACCATTTCCTGTATGGGACGCGCGGCTCAAGGCTGCACTTATCCGAGGACAATGCACCGAAGAAAGCCAAGCGGGGAGCTCAGGATGGCGGCAGGACGATGCACCACGACGGTGGCACTGGCGATGGCGGTGATGACAATGAATGTGATGACGATGATGATGCTGACGACGATGGTGACGATGTGCAGGATGGTGGTGATGCGAATGTGGGAACAGGCGCAGATGTTGACGACGATGGTGACGACCGTAATGAAGCGGGGAATGCGAGCGGACCAAGCGAAGGCGGAGCAGAGCCCAAATCGCGAGCGCGGCGGGTGGTATCATGGGTCCTAAATCGTCTGGACGTGCAACGCTGGCTTCCGGTAAGCACACACACACACACACACACACACACGTGGACAAAAACACACGTGAAACCGAACGCACACACACGTGAACACACACACACTCACTCACTCATACACACACACACACACACTCACTCACTCATACACACACACACACACACACTCACTGTGTGTTCAGTTTCCGTGGACGGAGCGCGGGCGGGCGCTGGTGCAGAAGGACATGGATGCATTCAAGGCCCTCGACCCAGACCGCGAGCAGCCGCCAACACACAGCGATGACAACGACGACAAGGGCGGCGGTAATGATGATGGCGATGGTGAAGAGAAGGAGGGCGTGCGCGGTAGTGATAGCGCAGCACACAGTGCGAATGACACATCAGCACCAGGGCAGGTCGGGTCTTCGGCGTCACGGGAGGTGGTGTGGTGTAATGCACGGCGTGACATGGGTGCCCGTCTGGCATCGTGTCGTGTTGTTGTGCCGCACGTTGCCGCTGCCCTGCGTCACCGCCGCCGCCCTTTCCTCAAGCGCGCGTTCAAGTTCCCGGAGACGGCAGAAGAGGTGACACGTGCAGCGTGGAAATTCGGGAGGGGAGGGAGAGTGTCATTGATGTGTACGTACGTGTGTTTCTTGTGTACGTGTGTGCGTGTGTGTACGTGTGTGTGTGTGTGCGTGTGTGTGTGCGTGCGTGTGTGTGTGTGTTCTCTGTTGAGCGTGTTTGTGTTGCGCTTGTTGTGAGTGTTGTATGCATGTGAGCAAAGCCCTCCCCCGCCGCCCATTTGGCCATGGCCACACCTGCTCACCTCCCCAGCTCACCACGTCATCACACCCTCCACCGGATCAACAGAAGCGCCACTACGCCGTGTATCGTGATCTCGTCATGCGCGGGTACTTTCTCGGGCCCGGCATGAAGTTTGGTGGACACTACCTCGTCTACCCGGGCGACCCATACCGCTACCACTCACACTTTGTAGCCATTGTTGTTGATCACGCCGGCCCAATCCACCCACTTGACATTGTCGCAGCTGGCCGCCTCGGTGCGTGTGCGTGCATGCGTGTGTGCGTGTGTGCGTGTGCGTGCGTGCGTGCGTGCGTGCATGTGTGTGTGTGTGTGTGTGTGTGTGTGTGTGTGTGTGTGTGTGTGTGTGTGTGTGTGTGTGTGTGTGTGTGTGTGTGTGTGTGCCCCGAACCGTTCATTCCCCCCTGAGTACAGCTGTAGCGTTCCGTCCACCTCCTGTTCTCACCTCCTGTTCTTGCGTGAATGTTTGACAGGTACTGTTGTGAAGAAGGCGCCACTGCTGTGTTCTGTGGATGACGATGGAAACGTGCACTACCTCTCTTTGCAGTGGACCGGGATGAACTGATGCTTGCAGGCATCAAGAACGCAGTATAGCCGCTTCAACACGCCACCCATGTGTGTTGTCCGACCCCTACGGTACAGAATAAATAAATAATGTGCACTCACGTCAGCCCGAGCACGCATCGTGTTTGTCTCTCTACCTTTCTCCTCCTTCTCCTTCTCCTTCTCCTTCTCCTTCTCCTTCTCCTTCTCCTTCTCCTTCTCCTTCTCTCTCTCTCTCGCTCGCTCTTTTACTTGTGTACTGCTTTGAGGCAGCAAGACGGGTGTACATATACACGCACGATGGGTGTCCAAGGAAAGAGAAGGAAGGGGGGATGTGATGTGACATGAAACGCAGGTGCACACAGGAAAAAAAGAGGGGAAGCAGTGGGAGGGCACAGTCGCGATCTTGCGCGCATATGGCACGGCGGATGCTGGGCAGCGCAGCCAACCCCAAAGAAAGCAGGATGGGTGAAATGATCGAAACGACCAAGGAGAAATGAGAAAATGAGGAATTGTTGGAGACGGTTGAAGAAGGTGCGACCACATGCAAGCAACACTCACGCTTGCAGCGGCCAAGGCGGCAGCGTTACTCGTGGTGGCACTCCTCGGGCACGTCAAATGCCTGCAAGCAACGGAGGTGTGTGCAGGTTGAGGTGGGTGGTTGGTGGTGAAGATTATTTGGTCACAAAACAAAAGAAACGCTTGAAGAGGCGCGGCAAGAAGTACATGAACACATGAGCTTTTACACATACAGACAGCCAAACAGACACACATCCCTACCTTCTGGTCCGGCTTGGAGGCATCAAACTTGCGGAAGAAGAAGCGAGAAAAGTCGTGGACGGATTCGCGCTCAAAGGCAACGGGGGTGTTTGGATCCGTCTTGCCAACCGCAACGAAGAGACGCGTGCCACCGAAGCGGGCCTCCCACGCGTCGAGAGTGCGCTCACGCACGCGGTGCTCGCCGATATACGTTGCGTTGCGCACCCAGTCGAACGGGTGTGGGGCGCTGCCACGAAGCTCGCGCTCCTCACAGTGGCGCATGTCCTCGCTGTTGATGGTGTACTCGCGGTGGAGGTCATAGCGCTGCAGGCCGAGCACGTGCAGCACGTGCATGCGGTCGCGGAAGTCGTACCGCTCGACAGCCTTGCCATCCTGCTGGTCGTGTGCCCAGAAGCCCTCGCCAAAGTGCGTGGCGTTGTGGCTGTCCTCGTGGAACTCCACTTCAATCTCGGACATGAAGGTGTCGGGGATGTTGGGGCGGGGTGGGTCGGCGGCGAGCAGGACGCCGGCGTTGTGCTGGCACTCCTCGGGGATGTTGAAGAAGCGGGAGGGCGGGGTGGTGGTGTTGAAGTCGCGGAAGTGGTAGCGGGTCATCTCGTGTGCAGATTCGCGCTCGGAGACAACGGGGCGGTTGGGGTCGCTCTTGCGCACGCCAACGAACAGACGAACGTTGCCGAAGCGGCTCTCCCACGCATCAAGCTTCTCGCCGTGGTGGTCCTGTTTGAAAACGAGTTTGTTTGTCACAGGTGAGCTTGACTTACATTAACAGCGATGACGGAAACAGGTAGCCAGGAGAGGGAAACAGACAGCCAAGACAAGGGCTTAAACTGGGGGAGCAAGCGCGTGCGTGCATGTTCTGCAAACACACATGCACAGTTCACAGAGGCATTCGGCTGCAGATGTTGCGCGTACACAAAACAGCAAGGACATGTACAAAGGTGTGCGCACAATACTGAACACTGGTGAACACCAGTAATGTGAACGCACGTGCTCGCCGACGTAGTGGGCGTCCTTGACCCAGGCAAACGGTGCAACGAAGGAGCTGTTGAGGTCATGGACGCGGCAGTCGTGGGGGTCCTCGCTGGAGATGAAGAACTCCTTCTTGAGGTCCCAGCGCTGGAGGCTGAGGAGGTGGAAGACGCGGAAACCCTCGTGGAAGTCGTAGCGCTCCGCAGAGCGGCTGCCGGCGGCGTCGGAGGCAAAGAAGCCCTCGCCAAAGCGCGTGCGGTCGCGTTCATGCAGCTCGACCTCAGCCATGGAGAGGAAGGTCGCAGGGATGTTGGGCCGGGGCGGCTCCTGCGCCAGCACACCCGGCGTCGCTGCGATCGCAGCCACAAAAACAGCCAGCACAACAAGCAAGCGCATCGCTGGTACTGGAACAAGCCTCAGATGAGAAGGTGAGAAAGCTGAGAAAGGTAAAAGGTCGTTGTTGTTTGTTTGGTCTGCTGTGCATGGGATCGTGGGAAATGAGGGTGCACAGTGTGTGTTGTGAGTTGTGAGTTGAGGCAAGCAACAAGGCCAAAGAAGAGGCTCAGAAAGGAAGAAGAAAGAAAGGCGCTCATGGGGTGGGGTGGCGCAGTAGCAGCACAAGAGTGCAGTGGCTTGCTTCAGTGCAGCTTCTTGCTTGTTGTGCGTTGTTTTTTTTGTTTTGGGAGAACGGGTGACATTTAGGTGACAGCGGTGGCGATGTCGCGATGTTTGGGGGGAAATGACGTAATTGTGGCTTTTGTGGTGTCGCATGCGAAAATGCGCGGCGCGACCGGCGGGGTTTTTCGTGAACGATGCTGATGTGCAAGACAACATGGCAGCAAGCCAGCAGCACCACAAGCACAAGCAGCACAAGCAGCACAAGCAGCACAACATGTTGCAGCCACACGGACACAGCCGTGGTGTGACATGAGAGAGATGTGGAGGTGGCTCAGTTGTTAAAAGGTGAGTTAGTTAGTCAGGGGTTCACACGACACATATCCCACGCCCGCCCACTCTTACCACGTACGTCGTCGCCAACACACCACGACCACAGACGAGAAGGAAGTGCGCTGACAGGCCGACAAGATGGGGGATGGCACGGTGACGGGCGAGCACGCAAGCCCACTTGCAGCAAAGAAGGTGTTGGTGATTGGAGCTGGCGCAGCTGGGCTGGCGTGCGCATGGAGCCTTGCGCGGTTCCCAGACAAGTTTGAGGTGCATGTGTGGGAGAAGGAGGCGCAGGCCGGTGGCGTGTGCACCTCGGAGGACGTGGGCAACGGCGACTGGATCAACGACGGCGTGCAGGGCGCTGCGCCATCCTACAGGAACACGTTCCTCTTCCACGACCAGTTTGGCTTCAAGCACGAGCCCGTGCACATGAAGGTGGCGTTTGGCAAGGGCCCCACAGCATGGAACAACGTTGCGCCAACGCCGCTCATCCACGAGCACCAGCGCGAGATTGAGCGCTTCGGCCGTGTGCTCAAGCACATCATGCGGCTCAAGTTCATCTACGCGTTCATCCCCATCCGCCGCGTCCTGGCCCTGCACCGCTTCTCCAAGTCTTTCCGCGACCACCTCGTCTTCCCTCTCACGGCACTCTTCTTCGGCACGGGCAACCAGGTGTGGTGACGTGGCTTTTGACATGCGTGGCTTTTGACAAGCGTGGCTTTTTGACATGCGTGGCGTGCGCCCGAAACACCCCCAACCCCACACGCACACACACACACACACACACACACACACACACACGCATTTTGACTTTACTTCTTCTTGACCGCACCTTCATTGTCGGCATTGTGTTGTGCAAATGTCAACGCCACCCATGACACGCCCTTTCCTTGCGACGTCTGCTCTGTATTGTACAGACGCCACGTGTATCGTCTGTGGTTGTTGCCAGCGTGTTCTTGGACCCGGACGTGCGTCTGTTTGACTACGACCCAGAGCGGCTGCTCAGCCAACAGCCCGACTTTTACGCCTTCAAGAAACTCTCAGACGTCTACGGCACCATCGCAGGTGCGCATGCACATATTGTGTGTTGTATGCTGTGCGTGCGTGCGCATGTGTTGTGTATGCTTGTGTTGTGTATGAGGTGAACACGTGACCCCTTTGTGCATGATGCACACGCGCTTGCCGCACAGTGTGCGGGTTTGTGCGCGTTACTGCGTTCTGATGTGTCGACTGCTCTGTACGCTGGATCCCGAAAATGTGGTTGAGTGTCTACACCGACAAGCGATTGCTGCAACACCTTCATGTCCTTCATGTACACTTCATCATGCAGGCGGGATTGGTGCGCACATGCACTACAACCGGCCAATTGCGCAGATTCGGCGCAGGAACAACAAGGTGCATGCCACGGACGGCGCCGGTGTTGAGGAAGTGTTTGACGAGGTCGTCTTCTCCTGCAACGCGGAAGCAGCGCTCAAGTCCCTCCAGCGGCCAAGGTGTGCACGTGTGCATGTGAATCTTGGAGGAGGGGGGAGGGTAGGGTGCGCGTGTAGCGTGGTGTGTGTGTGTGTGTGTGTGTGTGTGTGTGTGTGTGTGTGTGTGTGTGTGTGTGTGTGTGTGTGTGTGTGCGTGTGTGTGCGCGCGTGTGTGTGTGCGCGAGTGCGTGTGCCATTCCTTTGCGTAGCATGTGCGTAGCCTGTGCGTCGTAATCTTTGCGGGAGTAAACCCTGGCATGTGCTTGTGCACCAGTCGCGCCATACTTGCCCGTAACCTGTCGCACTCTGCCAACGCGTAGGTTTTGGGAGCGCTTTGTGCTCGGCCACGTGCGCTACTTCAACGATGTGACCGTCACACACGAGGACGAGGCGGTGAGCATGCTTGGTGTGCAATGCGCTTGCGTGTGTGTGCATGCATGCGTGTGTGTGTGTGCGTGTGCGTGCGTGTGTGCGTGTGTGTGCGTGTTGTGTGCATTGACAAGTACCTAGTGTCATTGTGACAACATCGTCTTCCCTCTGAGTGTCCCATGCTCCTGCCCATCTCTGCACCACACACATGGGTGAACGTGCGTCTCACTTTGTCACCACCACCACCACCATCACGTGGGTTTCAATGGTTCCGGTCGCAGTACATGCGTCGGCACTACGAGTTTGACAACGAGCGCGGTGACATGTACTTCATCCGCACAGATCCAGACAATAGCGAGGTGCGCGGATGCACGTATTTGCATGCTTTCGTTTGCGTGTGTGTGTGTGTGTGTGATCCGTCTCTCCACTACAGATACCTCTGTCTTTTGTTCGCCTTTGTGTCCTTCACGCTCTTCTCAACCCTGACATCCTTTCCCAACACACACACACACACACACACACGAAACATTGTAGGTCCTTGAGATGAGCTTCAACCTGAGCAACTATCAGGGTCAGCTGCGTGGGAGTGGCCGCAACGTGTACCAAACCATCTTCCTCAACGACGAAATCCGCCAGCGCTGGACAAAACCAGACATTGCAGAAGACAAGGTACAAAGCTGCAGCGTAGAGAGCGGAAGGTGGGACAATGGGTCAGGAGCGGGTGACATTTGTTTGCTGTGTATTCGCATGAGCACACAGCTGAGCGTCACTGCCATGTGAACACAATCACAAGTTGCACGTCATCACAAGCTGAACACCGCCACATCAGAAGCTTACACGCACACGTGCATGCATGTGTGTCCTTACCCGGTTTACGGTACTGCAATGCAGGTTTTGATGGAGAAGTGGTGGAGGCAAATGTCCCACACGTGGCGCCACTTTTTGTTTGTGGTGCCATGGGTGCGCTTCATGCAAGGCAGAAAGGTGTGTGCAGCAGCCCGTGGCGCACTCTCTCTCACATGCAGCGACAACATGCATTGTTTCACGAATGTTTGCTTCGCTCGTTCACTCACACACGCACACACACTCACACACATGCACGCACGCACGCACGCACACACACACACACACACACACACACGCTCTCTCCCTCCCTCTCTCTCTGTCTGTCTGGTGCAGCATACGTGGTACTGTGGCGCGTACACGCTGTTCAACACGCATGAGCTGGCCATTGTGTCGGGCCTGGCTGTGGCGCAGCGCCTGGGTGCCGACTACCCCTTTGACCACGACCAGCTTGCAGCCACCCAGTTTGACAAGCTCATGCAGGTTCGTGTGTGTGTGTGTGCGTGTGTGTGTGCGTGTGGGTGGGTGTTGTTGTGGAAGCAGTTGTGGCTGTGGAAGCAGTTGGGCTGTGGAAGCAGATGTGGCTGTGGACGCAGTTGTGGCTGTGGACGCAGTTGTGGCTGTGGACGCAGTTGTGGTTGCGCTTCTTGCGCCTCCTTTGCGCCCCCTTGCATCATTCCCTCTCATCCAACAACATCCGCATGCATCCACACACGATCGTTGGTTTCTCTGCTGCAGATTTCGCACGGCGTGAACCGCCACAAGCGCTCGTGGTGGCGTTGCTTCTCTCGACGTCGTCGTCGCACATCTTCCCCTTGAGCCAGCATGTATCACACACAAGAGAGAAAGAGAGAGAAAACAAAGACACGCACACACACACACACACACACACACACACACACACACACACACACACACACACACACACACACACACACACACACACACACACAGACTCATGTCACACAGACACACACACAGACACACACACACAACTGCTGCCGTGATTTTTGTGTTGACGACGAATAAACATGGAAAATATGTACAAATTATCGGTGTCTTGCCGCGCTTTCCGTTTTTTCTTTCCTCCTTCGTTCGTTCGTGCACGTTCGTGCTTCTTGCTTCTTCTTCATGCGCACCACTTCTCAGCAGCCAATATCGCCCTCAACCCACCAACCGCATTGCCAATCAACGGCTTGCATACGCCTCCCTCACACCCCCTGGCTTGCTTTGAGAGCCACAGAGTGAGCAACGCGTTGGACTGTGACCATATTCACTGTCGGCAACAACAACGCAATAAGACAGCGCTTGTGACACGCCATCAACCAGACAGCAGAAAGCAAGCAGCGAGCAGCCCATTCCCCGATTGTTTCTTGTGGCGCGGTTCTGCCGCGTGATCGTTCTCGATCCTTGTCGTTCTTCTTCTTCCTCTTCGTTCTTGCTTGGAGGTGAGTGGAGCCACCATGCATTGTCTGCAGGCCACTTTTGACTTCTTTTGCAGAGGGTGCTGTTCGCTTGTCCGGTGTGGGTGCCGCGTGCGTGTCCTCATGTTGACGCGGCGCCTCTGCTTTATCTCTGAACCGCATGCGCCGTGTCATCTCTTTTTTTTTCGTGACTGACACCATCATCCGCAACTCCGTCTCTCCCCCTCTCTCTGTCTGGCTTGTGTGAAACTTTCACTCTTACACACACTCATACACACAAACGCGCGCAAACACATACCTCACTCATGCTCATTGAGCAGGTAGAGTCGGCGTGTCGTTTCCCATTTTGCGAGAACTATGTCAACACTGGCCATGTCGTGCGCGTCTGTGAAGCGAACACATGATGGCCCCATTCCAGAACCACAGGCAGGCATGAGCGACATGTCGCTCTGGGATTCCCCGCAACAAACCAAGAAGTGCCGCATGATGGCGCCTCCAAGTACGTACAAACTTGTGTGTGTGTGTGTGTGTGTGTGTGTGTGTGTGTGTGTGTGTGTGTGTGTGTGTGTGTGTGTGTGTGTGTGTGTGTGTGTGTGTGTTACTGACAACCTTGTGGGCAGGGTGGTTGGCCATCTGTCGTGGGTCTCCGAACTTTGCTGCCTCTCCTTCCTTGACGGTCTCCTTCCTTGACTGTCTCCTTCCTTCCATCACACTGTCCTCCATCCCCTCCCCACTTCCTTTCAATCTTTGACAGAGGAATATGTTGCAGTGAGCCCAGACACAGACAGATTACCGAGGAAGCGTGTTGTTCACAGAAGGCCCTTGCCGCCAGCCATGTGCGACAAGACACAGAGCAGCGACGATGATGATGATGATGCCGAGAGTAATGCGAGCGATAATGAGAACGGCGGCCTGCACAACATGGACGATGACGACGATGAGCCAAAGCGCACACGTGTCAAGCACCGCCACTTCAACTGCCATGGACGCCAGTCCAGCATCCATCAGACATCGTTTGTCCCTCGCTCCGACGCAGAACCAGCGGAGCGGTTTATCCTTAGCGAAGTCAAGCGCAAGAAGCGCTTGCAAGTCAAGGTGTGTTTGTGCGTGCGTGTGTGTGTGCGTGCGTGTGTGCGTGTGTGTGCGCGTGTGTGCGTGTGCGTGCGTGCGTGTGTGTGTGTGCGTGTATGTATGTATATATGCGTGTGTGCGTGTGTGCGTGTGTGCGTGTGTTTGTATGTTTATGCACGTGCGCGTATGTTTGTGAACCCGTCACCTTGGCTCTTGGCTTGCTTCATTACTCACTTACATGTGTTGTCGTCCACTGTGCCATCAGGAGGAGCTCTCATCGTTGCCAACATCGAGCGATGCGCCAGCACCGTCCCCACGTGTCAAATTCACCGTCAAGCAGGTGAGGCAGACATGCAAACAACAGGCAGTGAGGAAATGGGTGGGAGTGCAGCTTCCCACATGCACGGTTCTCCTCCGTTGACTGTCGCATCTCCGCCTCCCTTCCGTGTTGTCCTTGTTCTCCTGCCTCGCTGTATTCATGCCCCAATGCCTGTCACACAACACAACACCAGGTCAAATCCATTGTGGAGAAAGCTGTGCGTGCGCGGGAGACAGAGCTCAGAGAAGAGTTTGCTGACATTCTTGCACGAAAGCTTGAAGGTTGGTCGCTTGCTGCTGTGTTCGCCGGCTGTTGTGTCTTTGTGTGTGTGTGTGTATGTGTGTGTGCTCTTGTGTGCACGCGCTCTTGTGTGCGTGTGCGTGTGTGTGTGTGTGTGCGTGTGCGTGTGCGTATGTGTGTGTATGTCAGCCACAGCCACAACCACAACCACAACCACAACCACAACCACAACCACAATCACGACCACAATCACGATCACCAGCAGCAGCACTACGAACCGTAGCGTCTCTCATCCATGTTGCCTTGTGCCTGGTCCATTGTGTGCAGAGCAATACCACCAGTTTACAAAGTACACACAGGACTTTGTCCATCAACGGCTACAGCAATCCCAATTCAACTGTAAGTCACCCTGCTCTTACACGTGTGCTTACATGTGCGTGCACGTGCGTATGGTTCTCTGCCTTATTTAATCGAGTGGACCGCCTTTCCAGCGTGCACGTGCGTATGGTTCTCTGCCTTATTTAATCGAGTGGACCGCCTTTCCAAACTCACGCGCGACCCGCCTGCCCTGCTCTTTCCGCTCTCATATGTGCGTCGCATGCAGACATGTCGTGACGCGGCACTAGTGCACCCCCACTTTTGTGCATGTTTCACTGCTATTGGTGTTGACGACAAACTCGTTGGCGTTGTTGTTGTCGTCGTTGTTATTGTCGGTGTGTGAGAGCTTTCTTAGGATCCCTAACTCTATGCCGTACCAAGCAAGCGGTTGTGTGGTGTGGTGTGGTGTGGTGTGGTGTGATGTGCTGCACGATTGACACCCACAACCACCGCCGCCGTTGTGCCTCTGGTGCGTCTCTCCAGTAAACAGTCTTCTAATGAATGGTGTGCAAACCAACAAGACACGCATACCGAAACATGAAAGAGTCGCTCACATAACACACGATGAAGCAGCCAAGGAAACAAGCAATCGAGCGTGATCCGACATGACATGGCAGCACGACCAAAGCACACTGTTATCATCATCACGTTGCACACCCATATCCGTATCATCACATCATTGCTCTGCTGGCTCAACAAAGGATGCAGGGAACATGCCCTCGCGCCCGCTGCTGTTGCGGCCACGCAGCCAGTCGGCGTTCACCTGTTTGTTCGCG